GACTGAAACTGCTTTTCTTTGTTTTCATTTTTTAGCATATGTAAATTATATTTTACTTGTCTAGTGCCCCTTTCTTTCTGGGCATTGGAAATTCTTTGTTGTAACTTGGCCACTACCATGAAATAGTCTGAGTCAATATTTGCGCCTCTGTAACTTCTGACGTCCATTAGGTTTGTAAAGTGCCTTCTGTCAATTATACCATGGTCAATTTGATTTGTGGTGTGTCCATTTGGTGATATCCAAGTTGCTTTATGGATATTCTTATGATTAAAATATGTACTTCCCACAATTAAATCTTTGAAAGCTGCCATACTAATAAGCATCAAACCATTGTCATTAGTAACGTCGTGAACCAATATACTATATACGTCGTGTTTACCAATATAATCTTGGTAGCATATCTCTTTTCCTATCTGAGCGTTCATCTGGGCGTTTCTTCATATTTTTCCTTTTATTCGAAGGATGCATAACCGATAATTTATGGCTTTAAAACCAATAATCAAATTTTTGATTTTCTTTGATACTAGGAACGCGGTTCCGAACTCATGTCGGTTCGGGTTGCAGCTGTAATATATATAATGTTTTTTTTCTGCATAATGCCGGTTCCTGTCCTTTTCATTTCTTAAATGGCTGCATTGTCTATTCTATATTTTAGGAGTTGATCTTGTAGCAGCTTTAGTCCCGCTGTCCTATACAGCGTTCTTACATTCCAAGTACTGATATTTAAATCATTCTCCTGAGTTCGGTGCGTGGGTCGTCGTCTTGAATTTAGTCCGGCTTTTCTATCTCGAGATTTCGTAACAATAAGTTTTTATGGGATGAGGGACTTAGTCTTATGCATAACCCCCTTTTCGGAGGACCATTTCTCCCTTCCTCGTCAGCCCTGACCCGACCTTTTACTGGTGTTGGTTACCCAGTCTCCAGTAGGGTTGCTCATGTTTACCGGGGTTTACCCGTGTGATCCGGATCACACTTCTCGGAGGTGAGGATAGGAATTGAGTAGGAGAGGCTAGAGGTGTTATCTATAAGCAACACCTTATGATGCGGGTCACTACTCCATTTAATACCCGTTATTGTGTTAGATTTAAAAATGGCATATGACACGGTTCCCCGAAAACAACTATGGAACACGATGAAGGAAATTGGGATAACTCAGAGGTTAATAGAAGCCGTAAAAAACCTTTACAACAACAACAACAAGGTAAGAGTTAAAACCGGCAATAAATACCCCAACGAATTTAAGACCACAAATGGCTTATTGCAGGGATGCTCTACATCTCCGACACTGTTTAAGATATTCCTCGAACAAATATTAAAATTATGGAAAAGGAAATATAAAGGGATGGGAATATCAATCCGGGACAACTTAACATTAAGCTTTGCAGATGACCAAGTGGTAACGGCTCAAGATGAAGCAGATCTGTGCTATATGCTCCGAAAATTAGAAAAGAAATACACAAAAAATGGACTGGAAATAAACCTAGAAAATACCGAATATGTAACAACAGAGCAAGATCCAGTGAGAAAATTGAAAATGGACGATAATAGGGAAATTACCGGCACTGAAAAATTCAAATATTTAGGATTCATACCCTCAAAAAATGGAAATACCGAGCAAGAGATACACAGCAGATTAGCACAGACAAGAACATGTATTAAACAAATGAACGGGGTACTGTGGGATAGACAGATTACCAGAACTACAAAGAAAAGAATTTATAACACCTTGGTACGCAGTATAATGACCTATGGAGCAGAGAATTGGGTAATAAATAAACGAAACAGGTCCAAAATCACAGCAACTGAAATAGAGTTTATGAGAATAAGCTGCAGAGTGACATAAATAGATCACATCAGAAATGAGGAATAAAACGAAGAATGGCAGTAGAACAAGACATACTCAGCTACATCGAAGAAAAACGTTTAATTTGGTATGGACATGTGAGAAGAACAGATCATACAAGTTGGATAGCAAAGATTTCGGAATGGAGCCCAATAGGAAGGAGGAAAAGAGGTAGACCCCAAAGATCATGGAGGGATGAAGTGGACGAGGCCATGCAAAAGACGAGACCTTAGATATGGAGAATGGCAGAACAGAGAGGACTGGAGACGTTGGCTAAAACAAGGAAGGCGGCGACAGCTGTAAAAATCGTTATATAGATAGATAGATAGATATTCTGTTAATCATATTATTGTTTCAACCATAGGTTATCTTGGATTTTTATTAATTTTTTATCAAAAATCAACTATTGCTAAAATTACTACTCTTCCACGTATCTCTTAAGAAGTAATAATATGTTTTCAACTTTATATTAATGTCTATAAAACTCTGTTTATGGCTGCAGTTTTGCATTTATATATGTAGTGGTTAGTGATTAAAATTTCAGTAACTGTTCAATTTAGAGAAATCGATAGCAGAAATGTAGAACATAAACTTTTTAATATTGATAGATTGTAAAACAAACAAACGTAATAAATTTTATTGATTTGGCGTAGATGTCAAGTTCAAGCGATTTAATATCATAAATGCTTTTTTTTTAAATAGGATAAAAAACTAAGTATGATAAATAAATATAAATATATATTAAAACCTAAATTTCGCACACGTGCAATAATACAATTTAAAAGTGTATTTTGGAAAAATTCATTATCACATATTTTACAGGAGAGCATAAAAACTAAATACAGTTCTCTCTCTCTCTCTCTCTCTCTCTCTCTCTCTCTCTCTCTCTCTCAAGGGGTCGGAGCTGGTTTTGGCTCTGCTTCCACTACCAGGTCACTATTTTTATCTTCTATACGAACTGATGTCCTCATTAGAAAGTTCAAATATTGTAGCTACATTTTCATCAAGTTAGCTCTTCCGGTCCGTAGATGATAGGAAGTTCTAACTGTCTGGCTCAAACAACTAACGGTAGGTCATCTTCATTTTCAGTCAATTTTTGATCCTTTAGCCATCCTTCGTAGTTAAAGGAATGTTTTATCGTATTGCTCTTCACCTCGTCCCAGAATTTAATAATCATTAGGATGGCGTCAAGAACGTTTAGTTTGAAATTGGCATTATTCAAAAGTCTTCTCCTATAATGGCTTTTCAAACTCGTGATGACACTTTGCTCCATGGGCTAATGGGTTCTCATTTATTTCTTCTAAAGTAATTCACGCACTCTTATTTGGTTTGTAGGTCGCTGGTATATTTTTGATGTTAAAAGCAACGTGGTTTTTTCGACTTTACCATCACTAACAATTTTTTCTTTAGTGAACCTGCCATGTTAACAGCCACTGAAACCGTAGAGAGCTTTTCACCAACGCACTTTTTCGATTTAAATTTTTAAGTTCTGTTTGGTATCATTTTAATAAACAATCCCGTTTCATAGCTTCAGTCCAGGCCATACGTTTTCTAGCCTATAATCCGTTACGTTTTTGTTAATATCGTGAGCATATCTGCTGATCTACCCGTAGTTGATCTTGCGCCGCAGCTTCCACTTGCTCAAGGTACATACGCTGGTTTTTGTACGTAGATCAATTTCATGAGACAACTTAATAGAATTAAATTAAAATAAATTTAATTAAATTAATTTAAAAAACAATTTTTAATTTAAAATTAAAAAAAAATTAAATAAAATTTTTAAATAAAATTAAATAAAATAAATAAAATTAAATTAAATTAAAAGAAATTAAATAAAATTAAATAAGATTAAATAATATTAAATAAAGTTAAATAAAATTCGATAAAATTAAATAATAATAAATAAAATATAATAAAATTAAATAAAATTAAATAAAATTAAATAAAATTACATAGAAGAACATAAAATAAATAAAATTAAATAAAATTAAAAAAGTTAAATAAAATTTAAAAGAAAATAAATAAAATTAATTTAAATTAAATAAAATTTAACAAAATTATATAAAATTCAATAAAACTAAATTCAATGTAATGAGAATCAAAATGAAGTTATTAAACTTTTTTCTTTTTTTTTTTTTTAATGGCCTTGGCATAGCCAATTGACCAGACTGTTTTGTAATTTGTATTCACAGAACAACAATCAGAGTTCGAGTTAGTACTAAATGTAAGTTAAAAATAAATTAAATAATTGATTGTTTTGATTTTTCTTTTTTTTGTTTGTTTGTGATTTTTTGTATTTTTTTTTTATTTTTTATATTTTTTTTTATTTGATTTTTTTTATTTCCTTGTATTACTTTTTTGATATTGTATGTAATATGTATATATATATATATTTTTTTTGTTTTGGTCTTTTTTTATATTAATTTGGTTTGGCCTATTTTTTTTTATTTATTTGTTTTTTTTTGTCTCTTTTTTTCCATTTTTTTTTTTCATTTTTTCGTATTAAAAGGTTTATTACATGATTGATATGTTCGCAAATTGCTTACAAATTTTATCTTAATTCTAGGGTTAGTACATTATATTGTTTAAAGTTTATATTTACAATTTCTTATTAACTGATAAATACAAGTTATTAAACTTAAATACAAGATAATACTCAAATTGAAAAATAAGTAATCAAATTTTTTAAAGAAAAAAATTAGGATTTTTTAAATGTTAAAGAATTTGTTTGTGGTGTTATTATAAATAATATTAACAACTCAGTACTAAGCAGTCGTAAAATTTCATTAATTTATATAGGAATAACGTACTATAAGAAGTATTCACTGTCGGCACTAACTAAGCGCCACGCGACGTTTTCATTTATTTTTAAATATATTGAGTGACTATAGATGACAGTTGATTGGATCATTCGTCAAAATCTTTAGTATAATGTAATACTCTATCATAATATGATACATTTGTCAAGGTCTTTTTAATTTTCCAACACATTTCTACGCCACTGCGCCAATAAAATATAGCTTGACTTCTTAATGCGATAAATGTACCTTAACAATAAATTTACGCCTAATTTAGACCCAATTTTGTCAATTTACTTTGCCATTGTAGCTAAATTTAACTAATTCACGACAGAAACGTGCTTCCCCATTAGACCAAAGCTATTTTTGTATGATGAAGAAGTCTACCATCCTCAAAACTTTTCGAAGGTTTTGGAAGAAGTTGACTAGTACTAGAATCTCGAAATATTCAAGAATATCTTAGAAGCCACGTCCAGTTACGAGGGGTGAGTTTATTTAATAAAAAGTAAATATTTGTTGAGTTGACTATATGTGTTACAAAGTTTTTGAAGTGGTGTCTTTTGCAAGTTTGAAATAATATGGAATTAGATAAGAAAACATTTTTAGCACTATTTAATAAATGTTAATAACTTTATATTAATAGAAAGGGAAGTGAAAAGAACAAATTATTTTTGCAAAAAATATCTTTAAATAAGCCGTTAAGAAGTACTGTTTTTTGCTAATAAACAAATAGAATAACTTTGTCATTTTTTATAATGCATCTTTCTAATTAGATGGAACGAAAATCTGGTTGAAATATACAAAGAGATCAGCAGGACAGTAGATACTTCTACAATCAGTAGAAGTTAAGTTAGTAACTTTTTTAACCCTTATCGGGGCAACACATTTTACTTACGTAGCCGGACAACCTGGGTCTGTTGGGCACACCACTGTTCTTGAATCTACTATTCATATTTACCCATATATTTCTAATATTCTTTTTTGATTTTTTATTAAATTTAAATTTGAATTGTCTAGATTAAAAACAAGTGCTACTATAGTGTGCGCTCTACCTCGAGGGTGCGATCTACCTGAAGGATTTATTTACAAGAAATAAACATTTGGAGCCAAATAAAGACTTAATTAATAAATAAATCAAAACTTTAGTAAATTTAACAGGCTACTTTATTTGAAAAGAGGAGTTGATGTTTACGCACACCCTGGAAAATGATTACGGTGTTGTTGCCTTTTAGTATTGTGTGAAAACGCTTCTGAGAAAATATTATGATAATTAGCAGCTCATGTATAAAGTACCGACAAAACAATCTTTACAAATTAAATAAAACACATAAGTCAGAAGAATATTATTATTTTACTTTTATAAATTAATACTTTGTTATATCAATTTAATATTTTAGTTAGGACTAAGCCACAAGATTAGCTTATTTCCAACTAGAATAGCAAATTGATATGATAAATTAAATTATTATTAAGTAGTAGGTTAAAAAAAAATAAAAAAAAACCATAGATTAGTCATTTATTTTTTTTTGCAATAACTACAAAATTTTTTAATTAGACAGTAATTTAAGTATACAGTGTTTCCTGTCCTTTTTTGTTGGGCACATGTGACAGCTTTCCTGTGAAATTTGTTGTGTGGATCTACTTCCTGTAAGTATTTTTTAATACTATTTTGTTTTCCATTGTAGTTCCCTCGATTTTCTTCTTAAAATTTGAGGCAACACTAGTTGTTCTACTGTCGTTGCAAGAAAAAATCTTCACTTTTTATTTTTTTTTTCGTTCCATTTTGGATGTAAATTTGTCCAAGTAATAAATGAGGCTATTCCAGCCACGTCTAAAATATTCATAAAAAACGCAAAAAGCCAACGGTTAGTTTATCTTTTGCACATATATTTATGAACCATTTGGTCTAGCGTATCGACACCACATTTTGTACTACTATAATAGAATATCATATCTGGTTTTTTGACAACATTATCTGCACATTAAGCGTTATGATGTATAGTACACAGGACTAGGAGACCTCTTTGTTTTTTCGGAACTTACAGATATGCTTTTGGAGTTTTTTTTCTCTGTGCCCAGAAGAGTTAGTGAATTTGCCAGTAATTTATGTCCAAGAGCAAGATCAGTGAAATAGTTATCGCAAGTTACAGTCCTCTTGGAATTATAAGTCTCAACGTGTTGCTTTACAGCTCGAGATGCAAGACCTTTGGCTACTGTATTTCCGTTTTTCTTTGGCTTTGAAGGCATATACTGCTTGAAAGAAACACCTACCTTGATACGGAACAAGTCGCTTGTCTATCGTTATGTTTTTTCCTGGTAAATACCATTTCTGAAAGATTTGGTTGACTTGATTCCACACATCCCGTATTGCTGTTAATTTGTCGTTCCTCCTTCGGACCTCGTATCCTTATCGTCAAATCGAACAAATCTTAGCAAATTTTGATTCTACACTTTGACCAGGGGGTAACATTACTTTGTGCACTTTTCTTTTTATTGTGTTACAGGATCGCATATGTCCTGTAGGTTGTGGTTGACTCTTCCAGGTAATTCTATCCTTAGTTTCAAAAATTACACACTCTGAAATCTGGAAATTTGTAGCTACACATTATTTTTCATTATCACTTAATATTACTTGCTTATCATCCTCTTCACTTGCTTCCGAAAGATGATCTTCAATTTCAGAGTCACTTTCAATGCCACCTACTTCAGGAGATTCTTTATCATCGGAACCCTATAAATTATTAGCAATATCTTGCAGTTCTGTAGCTGATAATGGTTTTCGGGATATTTTATTCGCACTATCTACTTTCACTGTAATTCAATATTATTTTAGGAGCTTAGTTGTCGACAATAACATCGATATCAAACGACTGATAGCAGATGCATTATTTATTTCAAAATATGTCTATATACCTACATAACAATATTATTACATTCCAACAATGATTATCAGTTTTTAAAATTCATTTAGAATAAAATTAGAACTTAGAATATAATAGATTTTGTTTTCTTGAATTATTTTAGTTATTTCTCCTGTATTGATTTTTCTGGCATCTTTTACGATTTACCGGTGGATATTTTTATTTAATTTCTTCATTGTTGTGTAGTTGGAGCCATATTTTTCCATCAGCTATTTTCTTTTACTTATTGGCTCTTTGATATTTTTGATTAGTTTTTCTTTATGAGACAGAATGGTCGGGCAGCATTCCCTTTTGCGTTTCTTTTGGAGCCTTCATTATGCCATCATTTGCTTGATCTACATCTTCTATCTACATCGTCTAGTTAGTGTATCTTTATACAGGTCGTTGTTTTCTGAGCGAATTTATTTCGTTTTACTTGTTATTAGGATAATTTTTTTGTTTCCAATTTGACATTTAATAGTATCTTAGCTCGGATTAATCTGTGGTCGCTTTCTATTGAAAATTTGTTGAGTACTTCGATGTCTTTGGTTATTTCTTTTCTGTTTGTTATGATATAATCTATTTTATATTTGACACTACCAAATTTATTCAAAAAAGATTTCATCATGAATGAATTTTTCTGGTGTAAGTTCAGCAATCTTTGCCCTCGTACATTTCTTTCGCCATAGCTATGCTTACCCATTGCTACTTCCTTATCATCTTGTTATGATATAAAGTCGCCCATAATTATTTTTTAAAGATAATACTTCTGAGATGCTACATGTTCTCCGTATTATTTTATGGGTTGGAGGCTTGGACATTAAAGAAAGATGTTTCAGACAGATTAGAAGCCTTCGGGTTATGGGCCTACAGAAGGATATTAAGAATAAGTTGGGTGGATAGAGTCACGAATGCCGAGTTGTAGAGAAGAATGGGAAAAGATAAAGATGTTTTAAATACAATTAAACTGCAATAAAAACTGCAATATCTGGGTATTGCAGAATTGCAAAAAAGAATACAGGGTAGATGGAGTCGCGGAAGAAGACGCATCTCCTGGTTAAATAATTTGAGAGCTTGATTTAACTGCACTTTTTCTGACCTCTTTAGAGTAGCGATATCGAAAATGTGAATTGCCATGATGGTTTCCAACCTTCTTAGAGGAGATAGTACATAAAGAACAAGAAGATAATTATTGTGTAATATGCTGGTGTGGCATATTGGTGTGTTTCTAGGTCCTCATAAAATTTTTCAATTTCTTTATCCGAATGGGTAGTTGTTGGAGCATATTATGTCTGTTACCTTAAGGTGATATCTTGCATTTTTTTTAATCCTGGGGCTTATGCTGATAATTTCAACTATATTTTGTGTATGCTTTCTATGTAGAATGAATCGTACTCCACCATTTGAAGTGCTTTCTTCAGCTCTTATATAAAATACGTGTCTTGATTTAGGAGTAATTTTGGCTTCTTCTCTTCGTCTTATTTGACTGAGGCTGATGTTTTATGTTTTTCAGCTCTTGCTCCAGTTCCATCATCTCTTATATCAGTTTTAACATTGTATGAAGTTATATGCATTTTTCGCGCTTTGTAGAGTAGCTAAATTTTTTTTGGAGATTCTTAGCATCCTTTGCTCCACCTATTCCAACCGCTACCTCGTTTGGGGATGTTGGAGCCGCCGGAGACAGAGGGCCGTTTAGTAGTTTCGCCTTTCATCGAATAACATTCGTATTGTATAACCTAACCTGTATAACCTGTTTAAAAATTTTGAAAATAGAAATTCTGAAGTTTTCGGCATTTTACATGTTTTATGTAAATGGAAATTATCAAGTTGTTAATATTTCGTTAACTCTTAATCGTCGTTAATACCATGGTATATTTACTATCACAATGAATATGTCCACATTTGTCGTTTTAGCCAAATCTAGTCGATATTTTTTGTCTTGACTTTTGTCCTGAATATTTTCCAAGTAACAACTTACGACTCTTTAGATTTGTCGTACTCTGGATATTATTGAATGAATTTGGAATAAAACAAATTCAGTTTTCAAAAAAAAAAAATACATAATTGTTGGTACTTACCTATATTCTTTCAAACATCAAAACTACACCATTTTAAATCGTTTTATTTGGTCTCTCTTTAATAATAAACTTTCTTTAAACAATAATTATTATTAAATTTCTAATACTAAATAAAAAAATTAATAAATACTTCACATCTCACGGTCGAAGCAAAATTATAGGCTTACCACTACACATTAATTAATATTAAAATTAAGTCAGGATAAGGATCGGAGATTAAGATTACACGGATGATTAATGGAGAGTTTTCACCCGGGAAAAGGGGAAAACCTCATACAACTAGTTTCCTAATGACGTTGACAGTGAATTATGAATGTCGCATTATTTTATTAAGTTATATTATTATTTCAGGAGATCTTCTGATACGCTATGCGTAATTTTTACACGTGTATACTGACTTTTCTTCATACTATTTTTAGTGACCATTTATTTCCTTTAAACATTTTCTAGTGTATTAAAACTATATTGTCGAATGTAGACAGTACAAAAATATCAGTCTATATTAATTAAAAAATAACTTAAATTAACTCTTAATTTGAGTTATTTTTTTAATAGCATTCGGATATATTATCCAGCAGTCTTGTGACCGCTTTTTTTATCAAGTGTAAATAACACTTAACTTTTTAAGATGTTGACTGACTTGGCTCTTGTCCCTATATAAATACTGCTCTAAATAGTCCGGTAGTTTATAGTTAAAATCACTTTTTGAGATTCTAGAGCAAGGAAATTCTTTATCTTTCTCATACTTTTTTGCCTTGTACTCTTTTTTGCCATGCGCTGTTGATCCACCTACGTTAAGTTTGAAATTAGATATACACACTATAAATGACAACACTGCGCCCCGTCGACTTTTCAGGAATCTCCGTTGCCCTGTCGCCAATAATTTGTCATTATACCGTGGTTGTTTAAAGCAATAACAGCGTAGATTTTTAATTTATTTTTGTAAACAACATGTCTGTTTATATGCCGACAGAAAAGGTTCAAATAATGAAATGGCTTTATGGTGGTAATTCTGGACAACACTGTGTAGATTTGTTTTGTGTTTTTTGAGGGTAGACCAATTCCTTGCGTACAGTCAACTCATAATATTGTTAAAAACTTGTTGTTATTGCCTCAAAAATTGCAGAAAATGTCACGCTCAAGAAGTGTCACCAGAAAAAGTTGAGGAAAGAGAATATCGGAATACACAAATGTGTGCAACAATCGAGGTAGATTCAACACGTTTAAGTAGAAGAGTTGTTAAAGAGTTAGATGTTAGCAATGTTACTGTAACGAAAGACGACTACTTTCGAAGAATGAAGCTTTTGAAACTCTAATAATGAAGGCTAATAATGAACTCAATTTTATTAAAAACATTTTATTTACTGATGAATCTTTTGTTTCGTTAATGCAGAGACACAGTCCTTCCATTATGAGGTTTTAAGCGCGGGAAAACCAGCACAGAAGTATTATTTGTCGTACCCAACGTCCTCGAAAAGTTAACGTCCGGACTGGCATTATAGGAGACTACATATTATCCATTTTTAATTGAGTACAACTTGAATACCTCGATTTGTTACAGAATCAATGTTTCGTTTCATTAAGACGGCTGTTCAGTTGACAACGCTCGAATAATTAATGGGTTATCAGTGGAACATTAGATATTAAGTGGCCTGCGCGATCTCCAGATCTTACACCCATGGACTTCTTTTTTTGGGGAGATTTAAAAAGCATCATTTACTATCATCTTCAGGGTAGAGCCCAAAATTTGGATGAATTAACAAATTAAATAAGTCTCTAATTCTGTTACAGCATACTATCTTATATCTGTCCGCAGAAGTTTTTATGAGAGACTGAGATACTGTTCAGCCGCATAAAGAATCATTTCTTATTTTATTAGGAATTATTTTTTATTTTCAATAAGAGTATATTTTTTGGTTTATCTTTTGAAAAACTCAGCTTTTATTTTTAATTCAACCACAAAATTTTTTCACATTAATGAAAAGCTATACAAATGCTCCGCCTTATAATGGTAAGTCTATTTTTATTGCGTTTATGTTATAAGGAAAACAAAAATCGACGGACGGAGATGCATATCCCTTGCGTTGTTATGTGTTACTAAATGGTATTCGTTTTCTCATTTTTTGTCTAGGAGTCTAAGAATCTAAGGTGTCGGAGATAATCTGAGGATTATAATTACCTCGTACGAGTCAATTGTGCCGATTTTGTATGTATTTGTGTGCATTTACGTATATTTATTGCGACCTAGATTTTCTAACTTGCCCCTCTATATAATTGAAAGGATGTCACAAACATCACCGAGTCTTCTAATGACTTTACTGCTTGTAACACGATTCACCCAGGAGATTGTCAACTTTGTTCTATAAACCACATTTCAAAAGTTTCGAGTCGTTGAACTGAAGCTTCGGTTAGTTTCCAAGATTAAAGAAACTTAAAGAAGTATATCTTAGTTTTTGTTTTCAAATCATGGATCTCTTGCTCTTTTTAACATATACAGCTTTATCCTTTTCTATCCGCTGCTCTATTTCTACATGAATGATCCCACTAATCGTTTATATTAATATTAAAGTAAACGTACCTGCAAATACCTCGTATTCCCTTTTTATTTCTTTCCATTTATGGCTCTCTTCTTTATTCCTTTGATTCTGATTTCATTCTCTTATTTTTCTATTCTGCAGTGCATAATATGCCTGTTGTGGCCATCGCTCATCATTTGTTCTCATAACATTACACATCCCTAAAATAGAAGTTGTTTTGCCTCTATCTTGACTATTATATCTAGAATATTTTATATCCATGCTATTTTTCTTTTACGTTCTTGTTTTGTTATGTGTTCATTTGTCGAGATACGACAATCTCTTCTTAGATAGCTTATTTCTAATGCATTAATTTGACTTTTTTCGTCATTTCCTAACAGGTTAACATATCTTAAAATTTGTTCTGTAACCGACTTGTAAATTGTCATTTTTATATTTATGCTAATCATTTTAGTAACAATTTAACTTATAGAAAATGACTTTGGAGAATTCAAAAGCTATGGTCAGAATAGATGAAGATATGGAAGAGTCATTTGATATTCAAAATGGAATTAGGCAATTTGATATCTTACCAACAACACTTTTTTATCTAACTTTGGAAGCTATTACCCAATCTCTACATATGAACAACTGTTTTTATACAAGATCTCCTCAAATATTCGCATATGCTAAAGACGTTGGCATAATAAGCAACAATATAAGAGTATTAAGTGAAAAAGCTATAGATTTGGTCTAAATATAAATGAAATGAAAACAAAATATATGGAGCACACAAGATTGAATCGGCATGAGAATCTGAAAGTAGACAACCATACTTACGAATATACCTCTACCTTTCCCTAGGTAGGCTCAATAATAAGTGCAAACATCAGTCAAGAAATACAAGCACGATTCTTAAAGGTAATCAGCATCAGGTAAATGCATACAACACTTAGTGAAAATTAGTTACTGAATTGTGAGTCTAAGCCTAGAATCTTTAAAATAATAATTAGACCAGTAGTCACAATTAAGAATATTTTGGATATCGTTGGATTTGTAATCCATATTTAGTCACAAAGACTAAACGGCTTGGTCACTTGAAAAGAATACCAGATAATCGAGCTGTAAAAGTAATCCAAAAATATAAGGATAAACCACACGGAAATAAGACAAGAGAACGACCCCGTAGAAGGTGGATAGATGATGGAGAGGAAGATCTTAAAACCATGAACATCAGTCAGTTGCGAAGGAAAATATTTGACAGGGCATAATACAAGAACGTTGTTAAGAAGGCCAATACAAAATTACTTTCCGCCTTTGTTGTAGTTTTTACAAATAATTTGTTTGACGCTCATTTTCAATGTTTATTCAAATCTAATTTGTTAATGTCCCCTGACTATGTATCTTGTTATACGCGTACGTTGTTATTATTTTTTAGGCACAGCATGGACGAAGATCAAGCAAAGCGACCAGGGGTTCTCGATATAGGACGAGCGATGCAACGTTTCGGGATGGTAGACTACATCATGTTCGTCATCATGCTTGGAATTTGTCTGGTCGTTGGGATGTATTTTGGGTTATTTAAAAAGAACCAAACTTCACAGGACTATTTAGTTGGTGGGCGTAATATGAAAGTTTTACCGATCGCCATGTCTTTGATTGCCACGTAAGTGAAATTAATAGTAACTATTCGAGTATTTTTAGATTGCGCTTAAAATTCAAAAAATACTTTGTCAATTGAAAATAATTTTTTAATCAAATTTAAAATTACATCATCATCATTAGTGGCTCGATAATCCGTTGTGGATCTTGCCCTGCCCACTCCTGTCGATTCCTGGCAACTTCCTTCCATCTTCTGACCCTTAGAATCTGTAGATCTTCTTTTCACATCATCAATCCATCTCCTTCGTGGTCGTCCTCTACTTCTTCTGACCTCAGTGGAGTATCTTCGACGCCATAGCCCATTTTCATTTACGGCCACAAAAATCTTTCTAAAAATTTTTCTCTTAAAAATACCAAGAAGTTTTTAATCATTTTAATATAAGGTCCACATTTCAGCCCATATATCAAAACCGGTCTTATTAAGATCTTATATACAGAGTGGCCCAAAAATCTGGAAACGGCTAATTATCTCGTAAATTACTAGACATAATTATACAAAATTTGAGGTACACCTATTTTGGGATACGTAGATTCCATATTTGGTATTTGCAATGTTGCCAGATTTTCAGTTTCTCTTAAATTACTAGTAACTTTGTATATTCCGTCGTTCTTGGAATCTCCTATTAAATACGAGTTCAACTATATGTAACACTTATGATTTTATGTAGTCTGGAAGGTCTTAAATACATAAAACAGAAGTCTGGCAACGCCTAAATTGTTTCAATACATTTTTTAATACTAATTATTTTCAAATACATTAAAACGTAACAATTGATAGTTTAGAATATTTTTAACATAATAGTTACGTTATTAAGTGTTTAAAATGTGCTCCATTTGTGAGTTGACAGCACTCTAATCGATGGTAGAATGCGTCTACCACATTTCTCCATGATTGTCTAGAAATTATTCGAGATTTATTTATTCGAATTTTTTAAGTATCTCTAATAAAAATAATCTTTAGGATTGGGATCGGGTGAACGTAGAGGCCATTCAATTCTACCTTGTCTACCAATTTATCGTCCGGGAAATATCTCATCTAAATAACGCCGAACATTTACACCAACTATCTGACGTTTAATTTCTTTCGACAAAAAATGGCCCAATTAAATAAGTACCTACTATAACTGACCATACATTTAATTTTTGTGGTCTTTGAGTATCGTTTTCACGCATTCAGTGTGAATTTCACACGAGTTCAGCTATTCAATACGAGTTCAACCATATGTTCACTTGATTTTATATAGTCTGAAAGATCTTAAATACATAAAACAGTGCAAAATATGTAGATTTTAATAAATTAAAATATTTAAATGGAGAATGCTGTGATTTTGACATTTGTTCACCATTTAAATTATGAACTAAAATTGACAATAGTTGTGGTTCAAAAAGTTCTGCAATTTAAATTGCTTCTCTAAAATGCCGTTCTCTAAACCGTTCTCCTATTCATAAGACGACGGTACAAAAAACTGTAAGGCGATTTGAGGAATCTGGAGAAGTAAAAGATAGATACCGATCAGGTTGACCAAAACGAGTTATCAATGACAACAAAACTTTAGATATAAGCAAAGTTTTGTTAAAGATCCACATACATCCCTAGGCTAAGTACATGATGTAGGGCATTCTTCAGTCTTACGTTTATTACGTAAAAATAAATTTAAATAATACAAAATTAACTTATTGCAAGAATTAAGTGAATATGACTTTGGTCGTAGATTAGAGTTTACTGAGGTAATGATGGATAAAATTGAAAATTATTAAAATTTCGTTAACAGAATATGTTTTTCCGATGAAGCAACTTTTACACTGTGTGGAAGTGTAAATCGACACAATTTAAGGTACTGGTGTGACGTAAATTCACACTGAAGACTGAATGCGTAAAAACCATACTCAAAGACCACAAAAATTAAATGTATGGTCAGATATAGTAGTTATTTATTCAATTGGGTCATTTTTTGTCGAAAGAAATTTAACGTCAGATAGTTGGTGTAAATGTTCGGCGATATTTAGATGAGATATTTCCTGGATGATAAATTGGTAGACAAGGTAGAATTGAATGGCCTCCACGTTCACCCGATTTCAATCCTAAAGACTATTTTTATTAGGGATACTTGAAAAATTCAGTTTACAAAACTCAACCAGCAAGTCTTGCAGAGCTAAGGCAACGGATTATCAATGAATATCGAATAATTTTTAGACAATCATGGAGAAATGTGGTAGACGCCTTCTACCATCGATTAGGGTGCTGTCAACTCACAAATTGAGCACATTTTGAACACTTAATAACGTAACTACTATGTTAAAAAATGTTCTAATCTATCAATTGTTACGATTTAATATATTTGAAAATAGTTAGTATTAAACAATTTATTGAAACAATTTAGGCGTTGCCAGACTTCGGTTTTATGTATTTATGACCTTCCAGATTACATAAAATCATAAGTGTTACATATGGTTGAACTCGTATTGAATAGGAGATTCCAATAATGACTGAATATACAGGGTGATGTATTTGAAAAACCAAAGTTACTAATAATATACGGAAAACGGCAAATGTGGCAACATTGTATATATATCAAATATGGAATATCCGTATCCAAAAATAGGTGTACCTCAAATTTTGTACAGTTATGATTAGCATTTTACGAGATAATTAGCCGTTTCCAGACTTTTGGGCCACTCTGTATATTGAGCTTTACTGCACGTTTTATATTTTTATTTATGATCTCCATTATTTTGGCCTCCAGAAACATTTAGTTGTTGGAGAACGTGAACAGTTCTCTTTGCTATTGCTATGCGTATTTTTATTTCGTCGCTTGTCGTGTTTGTTGCGTTTACTAGCGATCTAAGATATAGAAATTCTTTGACATGCTCAAAAGTATAGTTGTTAATTTGAATTCTCTGTTGGATATTTCGGAGGTTTTTAGGAACCAACATTTATTTGATTTTTTCCTCGTTTAACACAAGTCCTAATTTAGCTGACGTAAGCCTTGTAAAACAGTGCACCATGTCTTTCATACTTCTGCCCACTATATTTAGATCGTCAGCGAAGGCGAGAATTTGCGTCGATCTATTAAAAATAGTTTCATTCATTCTAATCTTTAATTGAAATAAGATTGAATGCTCGAATAAATGAACTTTGAAAAATTAAAGGCAAATATCGAGCACAATTTTAATAATCAAATCTTGCCCAAGTACTTTCGCTTTCTATAGCATCATCAGGGGTATTTCGTTAAATTTGGGCTATCCAGTAAGCGCAGAATGTAATAAACATAAAATTGAACATAAATTGTACATAACACTACACTAAAACAAGGACAAACAGTTTAAAATTATTTAAAAATTATTCTCCGCTCTACATTCCCGTTGGCAACAGGAGAGTGAATGACTCATTCTCTCTCCTGTTGTTTACTTGGGCAAGATTTGATTATTAAAATTGTGCTCGATATTTGCCCTTAATTTTTCATTAATAATCTTTAATTGTCTGATTGCTTTTTCCAAGACAATATTAAAGACGAAACACGTCAGTGTATCCACCTGTCTTAGACCATTAAAATGTCAAAGAACGTAAAGTTTTCTCCTTCAACTTAACTAACTTAGGTGGGATCCCAAAGTCTATTTATTATTGCATTATATAATGCAGTTCTTTTCATCCTATCATAGGATGCTTGAAAATCGACGAAGAGATGGTGTGTATGTTATATTCTAGTGACTTTTCTAGAATCTGCCTATGTGCTTGAATCTGCTATGTGCAGTTGACTTTCTAGCAGGTCTAGTGTCAGGTAGCTAGTGTAAACCCGCATTGATATTGACCAACAAAATCCTTTGTAAAATGTTAAGTCTTTCAAACAATACATTGCCAAATACGCAGATGCTAACAGAGTAATACCTCTATAGTTCTTACACTCCAGTTGATCACTCTATTTAAAATTACAATCAAACTATAAAATACTAGCCAGATTTGATATTCATAAAAAAAATAATAAATATAATACCAGGAGCTAGGGAAAAGTTTCTGTTATAACCCAAATATGCAATTACCACCACAAAAATTTAAATTCCATTTCATTTTTCTGAATATTATTCACACCAGTACTTACTGAAAAAATATTGAGTATATGTAAAATGTGGTTCTCAATGACATACGATTAAAGGTAGTTAAGTAGTTAGGGATCTATTTATATTCTCCTTTTGTGAATTTTTATCCATCTAGTTTACGTTATAGGTATCCACTATAGGTTTACGTTATAGGTATCCCTAGGTGCTTTTATCTTTCTTATCCTGCGAAAATTGTATCCACAGTTTACATTTCACTGTTCTTACGTTGCACAGAGTGGCATTTTACATAAGAAGCTGGCCAAAATGGAAATTTCAAAAACTATCATTTTTTCATGGTCAGGTCAGGTCATGTAATATCGACGATAAAGACTTAAGGATAATTTCAAACCTCTACCAAGAACAAAAGGCTAAAATCATAATAAAAAGCGAAACATCTGGAAAAATCAATATCGAGAAGGGAGTAAGGACAGGATGTGTCCTATCACCTTTGCTGTTCAATGTTTACTCTGAAAGATATTTCAGAAAGCTTTGGAAGGCACCTCGGATGGTATAATTATAAACGGACAATGTATAAATAACCTGCGATATGCTGATGACACTGTCATATTGGCAGATAATGCTGAAGCTGCAACGCTTAATGGAACATTAAGAACTAAGACAAAAACGATGGTCATCAGCAAGCACCAAAACAGAAGGGTTTAGGTCAATGTCGACGGAACAGATCTGGAAAGAGTAACAAGAACAACGTACCTTGGAAATAATCTTGATGAAACTTGGAACCACTCACTAGAGATAAGAATACGCCTGGAAAAGGCACGTACAATGTTTTAAAAAATGCAAAAAGTTCTATGCAACCGCCAGTTGGGCATCTCATTGAGAACTAGAATACTTAAGTGCTATGTTTTCTTCACCTTGCTCTATGGTGTTGAAGCCTGGAAAATGACAGAAGCAACACAAAAAAGAATCCAAGCATTCGAACTCTGGTGTTACCGTAAAATGCTCAGAATATCCTACATGAGCCATACGACAAATGCGGAAGTCTTGCGGAGGATGAATAAGGAAAGAGAGCTTATGCTTATAATAAAAGAACGGAAAACACAATATTTTGGTCACATCATAAGAAATCAAAAGTATGAACTGCTCCAACTTATAATCGAAGGCAAAGTCAATAGCAAAAGAGGACTAGGAAGAAGACGCAACTCCTGGCTTAAAAACCCACGGCAATGGACGAACATAACCTCCATAGAACTATTCAGGGCTGCTACAAATAAGATTAAGTGGGCAAATGTAATGGCCAACGTCCTTAAGGATAAGGCACCGTAAGAAGATCATTTTAACCAGATTCTACTTTCTAAACCAGGTTTATAAAGTAGAATCTAAGAATTTACTATATTTACTTTTGGTAACGAAAATTTTCAACTTCAGAGTAAACATTTTTGATAAAAATTGTGATTTTTTACGATTTAGTTGATTTGTATTTTACAAGAAATAATGTTTTAATGGTAAATTCTTTTATACTTATCTTACAAATACTATCATCCTTTAATTCTAGTGCCTATGATAATTTTGCAGATAAATTTCATAATGCATTTTTAGGTGGGTAAGTGGTATATCTTTGCTGGGAATACCAACGGAAATATATGTATATGGAATTCAATATACTTATATAATATTTGGTTACCTACTGACAACACTAATATTTGGGTACATTTACTTGCCGGTTTTTCAGCAGTTAAAACTCACTTCAACATACGAGGTAAGACAATTAATTTTTTTGAATTGTAGTTACAATATTATTAGTTTATTCTAACCATATTTTAAATTAAAACGCCAGTGGTAATCAAAACATTTAAACCAATTCATCTTATTTTTTAAATTTCTTTATGGTTATGTCATATAATAAGAATAGGTAAATTCAAATCTAGAGCTCTATTCAATAAACTATTTAGACAGTATTAGTAAGTGCAGTTTTATATATACGAACAAGTTAAAAATAAAACAGAACAACCAAAAATATATAATAAAATAGCCTTAAAATATCAAACGACAAAATAGTCGATACCCGACAGTCTAAAATTCCCATTAAAATAAGAGTTCGACAAGGCGACGTTATATCGCCAAAGCTGTTAATTCTATATCTAGAAAAATATTCTTCTTCTTCTTCTTTGTCTTACTTTTTTATTTTATTAATAACAGCATCAACCACTTTGGTTTATTAGCTATACTATAATTAATACATATTTACTTAATTCCAAACAGTGTTATTGATTAATGTGTTACATTAATGTTGCAGTTACATAAGTCACAAATAAGACGATTTGATTTAGATAATAGCAGTGAGTTACGACCTATACGAATACGGGTTAAGTTGTTAATGTTAATAATTAAACAGGTGTGGTTAATTTGTAGAATTGATTGTGGGTTAAGTTGTTAATGTTAATAATTAAACAGGTGTAGTTAATTTGTAGAATTGATTGTGAAGGATTCCATTCGTTCTTTCATCCATTTGCCATTTTTCCTTTGAGGAACGATTTGCAGTCGGAAACCCACACTAAGTTCACCAACACTGAAGAGGCGCTGTGGTTTTCTGGCATGAAAATATAGTTTTTCCTCAGATACCTTAAAGGCCCCAGGTCCAGATGAAATATATGTAGAGATGATAAAACTTATCAATGAAGAAAATCTTCAGTCCTTAACACTACTAGTTAGTATAGACAAATATAGCCAGAAGATACAAAAGTACAAGCTCGGTCGTCACAAAACCTAGAAATGTACGAAAGAGTAAAATAACCGAAACAGATCGAAGAGCATTATGACGCATTATAGTAAAAAGCGTTAAAGTTATAAAAAGCGTTTTATGGAGTGGCGTTATTGGAAGACACGCTTCTAGATCGTTACAATGGCTTTATTTATATAATAAATTTAACATATAAGAAATTACAGGTGGATAGGGAAACAGTACCTTCTTTTCTTAACGCAAATAATAAAACAGAGGTGATGTTTATCAATGTATAAATTATAAAGATATAAAACATTAATAGTACTTACTATATATTATCGACCGTTAAGTACCAATACCTTCTATCTAACGACAAGTAAATTTTACAGGAGAAGCAAAAAACTTATTTAATTTTGCTCTGCCAATCAGAATAATTTAATATATGGACTTTCTACTTTTTTATGTATAAGATTATCGTACCTCACATATTTGATTTTGAAAGAGCTTTTGAAAAAGACAGTTTGTCAGTTAGGAGGTATTGTTTTTCTCTGTTACTTGAAATATATGTGTTTAATGGAAGATAGGAGGTCTTAAATGTAATTAAAAAATGAATTAAACTCAAAAAACTTTATTATTATTATTAATGATATCAACACATTAAGACTTCTGAGATAGTGAGTCATAGAATGTATGACAGTCTTGCGGTAACACAGTTTTCAATTGTTGTAAATGAGAGTACTTCGTAGAACTAATAGGTAGCACTTTGTCATGCAAGGGAGTATAAATCGGTTCAGGAATAATTTTAGGTCTTATGGGCAACTCACTCCACTCATCATCAAAGTTTCGTTTATATTGTATTTTTCCATCTATGGTATACAGTAAAGCCCTCAGATCTGTTACAACAGGATCTCCTACTTTACGACCTGGCCTAATGGAAGTGTATCGCCATGTGTCCTCATTTGCGTAATTTTTAAAAAATTGATAGTCAACCAATTTCACTTCATACGGAAATGGCTTACTTCTTGCTTCCTTAGTAGCAGAAGCATAATCGCTTGGAAGATGAATCTCACGATGCTTCAATTTAGTCTCGACAGCGCTGTGGACCGAGTCACACTCCATTTGAGTGTGACCCGGTTCTAAAAACTTTTGGGTTATAACTATCTGATATTTTACAGAAAAGGCAGATAATGCGTTAGACAAAATGTTATTCCGATTTTGGTATGTGCAGCCATCTGAAAATATTACTATAGGTAACCTGTTGGCGAGACAGTGTTGTGACAAGTAATCTAAAAGGAAGTTAACAAATGTGCTTGCTGTCAAGTCACTGGCAGTTTCGTCAAACCAATAGCATGTTGCATGATGAGTGACCAAATTGTAGACCGTATAGTTGTGACAAGTTAACTTCGTTTTGAAGTAGAGGGCACTTGCAGTCAGATAAGGACACACTTTGACAGCTTCAAGATCCATTGTAAGAAGATTAAATTCACCAGCTTGTGCTTTTTCCTTGTCATGTTCTTTCTCGGCTCTTGCTCTTGATTTACGTTGAATATGATCTTTATATTTTTCGTCTGAAATATTTCCTTCTTTATAACTGACACAGATGTCACACATATCCTTTTTTAAGGTATAAATAGAAAGATTTGAATCTTTAAATATCTTGTCAAAAGTATGTCTGCTTGCACTCTCTTCGTTATTATTTGAGCACCATATTTTATAGCAATTATAGAGTTCTGTTTTATTTCGGTAATATGGCTCGATGAATAATTTTCTCGAATTTTTTCTATTATAATGAGAGGGAAGTGTTGGGATATTTTTAAAAAATTCACGTAGCATCTGGATTCTTGTCGCCGTTCCTCTTGGCACAACTCGTTTTCGATTGCTATTGGTGACTTCATTACATGGAAGTGTTTTATGAACTGACTTCTTGACCCAAGATTGTACAGTAAAAGAACCTAGGGAAAATGTATTTAAAAAGGATGTCTTGCAAACTCGCAAATTACCCTCAGCTGTAGGCAAAAAATACTGGAAAGTACCTTCCCGTCTTGTCTCACACCCTACAGTTTTTCTAGCAGTAGTTTGTCGGGAGACTAATCCATTTATATAAATCTTCCTTTGTTCCCAATTTAAGTTTGTCCAAAAATTATTAAATATATCTTGTCGCATCTCCACGGTCAGTTTTTCACAATTCCTGACTTTACTTGTTGTACATTTTTTAGACTTGCATGCTTCACCCAGTTTGCGAGCGCTTCGGGGAGTATTGTGTAACATTTTTCCCTCTTTCGGATTTGTATAACCTAAGTAATCTTTGCCAAGCATTCTTAACTGTTTGTTACGATTTTTTTTCCAAGTCTTACTATCTGGTTTAATTTTTCTTTTTCGTTCTTCATTGATTTCTCCGAAATAAACCTGTCTTGGCACCAGCTCAGAATCCGGCACACTATTTTCTTCAGACACCCTATCTTCGCTCTCAGTCTCCGATGAATCAGACTCTGGGTTATAGGAACTTTCACTGGGTGAAAAATCGTGAGCTGAAGATGTACTTGGAGTCGATGCTCTCTCTGTAATTACATTTTCAGTATGAAGTTCCTCGTTTAACTGTTGGAAGTGGGAGTCTTCTAAATTGTTGGAGGAAAACACATTTTGATAGGAACGATTACTTTCTTGATTGTCAGACAAGGCAAGACTACCAACTTGTTGGCTTGTACTAATAGGAGGAGTAATATTTTCATTTGTCTCCGGAATGTAGGAACTTCCATCTGGTAACAGTACACTGTGGATCAATGTCGTAGTTTCATGAATTAAGTTTACACAGTGTTCGTCTTGGCTCAGATTTTTAGATTGTGATCTTGTGGGCTCTAAACCTTCAGAAATAATAACGCTAGTAGTAGACTCACTTGTGCAGCCATAAGGAATGTTTTCATCAAGTTTCAAAGCCAATCCTAATATTTCAGCTGCCCGTGTTTTCCTACGTCGATCTTGATTGATATTCATCTGTAAAAAAATTTGCATTTAGGTACTACTTTGAGATTTTACTTGAAAATTCAATGCTTTAAACATTGCTTGTTACGTAAATATAACTATTAGGGGATCGAAAATAATCTTTATTATAATTTATCATATAAAAGCAAAATGTTTTGTTTCCAATGTTAGTTAAAACGTACTTTAATATTAATAGCTGCATTTTTCTGTTCTTAAACAGCTTTTCATTATGACAAAATATCCAATATGCCCGTTTTTTGCGCCGCCTATGTACTACGAACACCTTAAGTAATTTTAATTATTTTTGTGGAAAGATCTGCTATCTACATTTCAATTTACTAAAACTCCCTTTGGTGGTTGTGTGTACATTTTTAACTATAACTGTATTATAAGCCTTGAATATGTAACTATCATCTTAACTTAAAATTAATTTATAAGAACTTTAACACACAAAAACATGAGTTAAATTGAGGTTAGGTATTTATTTTTTGTACAAAGTCTTACTTAGGCTGTTAATTTTAGTTGTAAAACACTCCTTACCTTTTGATAACACCAGACACACACGTAAATACAATATTGTACGGCAGAAGAACTAAATAAGATACAAAAAACGAATAATACCGGGAAACTGTTGATAGGCGGTACAACTAACAAACAACAACCACAAATGAGTAGATAGAAGGTATTTCTGCTATTCAGTTAGAAGGTATTTCCAGCATAAAAAACGCTGATTAAGGTAGGATATATTTCCATGATGTTATTTTAAATACTTTGAGAATAGATACAGTTAGGATATTTTGTTAGAAGATGCGTAACAAGCTTTGCAGTTAGATGGTGCGATAAACTCATTTTTGAAAAAAATGTTAGATAGGAGGTATTGGTACTTAACGGTCGTTATGTCTTGTATAAATTAAACTGTACTATTTTATATAAATGACTTTATGAGTGTAAATAATTATAGATAAATTGTGTATAATAATAATTTTTTTATCTTAAAAATCAAATAATAATTTTAGTACCATGAAATGAGGTTTGATAAAAAAGTAAGACTATTCGGATCTGTCCTCTTCGCCATTGGTATGATAGCTTGGCTGCCTTTGGTAATCTACGTGCCAGCTTTAGCATTTAACCAAGTTACAGGTGTTAATGTCCATCTTACGACTCCAGCTGTGTGCATAATATGTATTATCTATACATCTATGGTAGGTTTCTATTATTTATTTATATCATCATTACCATCGTTATCATTACGATCATTATCATTGTTATCGGGACCAATATTATTTTCGTTATCATCATTATCACCATGAGAACCATAATTATTACTCCAATCACTATTATTTGAATAACCATCATCAATATTATGATTATTGTTATTACCATCATAATCAAGAAAATCTAGCAAAAGTTAAACTATTTTAGACAACTTCAACTTGATGTTCAGAACACTACGACAGTTCTTAACTGAAAGAATAGATTAAAAAACAATTTTATTAGTGTTTTGAGGAAACTTACTAAAACCTTAAAGAGACCAATAATTTAGTCGTTTCCTATCTGGCAAAAAATTAGTCTCACACGTAGACAGAAATTTTTGAACAGTGAAATTTTAACTAAAGAATTAAAACCTTTATAATATGAGTTAAATAAATCTTGCAGGGCAGATTACAGCGATATAAAAACACTTAATAGAGGGTTTCTTCTTCTTCAGAGTCAGATGAGACACTAAAATCTATAGGACTTAATTGTCAGGGCTTTTCACCTATTTCTAAATGCTCTATTAAACTACAACGAGATGTGTCTTCTTAATAAAAACTAGTAATATTTATATGGAGAGATAAAAGGGAATTCTTTTGTATCGCAGTGGTCGTGAGTTCCAATCATGATGAAATGATATTGAAAAGCAATTAAATTTTCCAGAAGCTAGAACTTGACAATAGCGGTACATAGATGCCATTTGGAAAAGAGTTAGACACTCAAGAGGCTCTGTTCTGCTCTAACTATACACACACAATGTTGCTTAGAGGTTAGTCAAGACATAGACATTTCATGTTTCATATACTTTGAGCTCTTAACAGGATATGCGGTGATTCACTCCAAGGTATTCTTAAGTGTAAAGACATTGATAGTTAAGGTCTACGAATAATCCTAAATATATGATAAAATAAGTAAGTAAATATATAAAATACAAAATAAGGGTAATACTGAAAGTTCGATAAATATGTATGTTGTCCTCATAGCTTTCTAACATCTACAATAAACGCATTTGGCAGGAACTCAAACTCATCTATATCATCATTATCTCGACAGTCCATTCTGTATCCGGGCTTTTTCTGTCCTTCTTTTTGATGTATCCGTCACTTTATTTTTCCTATTGGTAAACTTAAATAGTTTTTAGATTTTGTTCCATTTATTTTAGGCGTCTAGAAAATGTACGTATATGCAAGTAACTTTTGTCAAATGCAACTGAAGGAATGTAGTCAATGCCAGTCAATGTTTTCTTGATGCTGTATATCATAAAAGTTTCCTCAGAATTTTTTTATAAACATTTGAATTACGTCTTAAAAGTTTTGAAAGGTAATAAACTATTTCTAAATACTTATTTACACAGCCAAATTTAAATCTGGGCAAAGCAATCGCTGTCTTTCATTTTAATTATTTATATACATTGGAAAATGCCACTAGCAGAATCCGAAGTGTTTGTTTGGGATAGTTTTCTGACAGATATCTTTAGAAAGCGAGTTCTGTGCATCAGGAAAGAAGGGTCAAATCCCATTTACATCGTTAGGTAGTTAAGTCGACGTCTTGGCCTGTTATTCCTCTAGTCAAGTGGTGCTGGAATTGTCCCAGTACTTGAAATTTCCATCTCAGAATCAAGTAAAAATTTTGGCCTTCATTCACTTGCTAGAAAATTGAGTGAAATTAGAACTTGTAAATTTATTTTTGAGAAATCGATTATACTTTCCTTAATATGTGATTTATCTCTTGATCACAAGTGATAAAACATATCCAGCTTACTGATTATGGCAGTGAAGGCAGTGATATCAAGTTGTTCGCTGAGAAGCAATTCCTCTAATTATTTTTTATTAAAAGAACCTAAAAGACTGTAGTGAAAGTATAGTGAAACAAAGAAAAATTTACTGTATTTTTTATTAAGGAATGCTCTTGGTGTGAAACTTAACAGAGAGGGGTTTAGTTTGCTTGCTCTAGTAATGATTTCACCAGTGCAAGAAATGGTTTTCCAAACTGTAGCATTCACTCTATATTTAGTAGTAAATTTATTTTGTTTTCATGAACAGTTTTTAATCCATTACTGAACCATCTACAATCTTCGGTAATACCAATCGGTTCGTAGACATATAATACAAGATAGATTGACTGCTGCAATAAATTCGCGTTCCTCGCAGTGCGACAGAGAAAACTGACGCAAAACAGTCCCTGTATCTCTGTTTAATGGGCCGGTTTATCGATCATGTGACTTTTTCATTGTTCATTTTTTTACATAGTCGATAAATCTCGCAAATTAGAAAGTAAAGCTGCAGGTACTGCTTTACGTCAGTTTCTCACACTGGGGGAACGTGCTGGTATTGCAACGATGAGTCTATATTGTATTATATGTCTATGGATCAGTCCATAGACACATAGTAAGTAAGTGCTAAAGTCCTGCCTCATTACAGGATCGTAGCAGGTGATTTAAAAAATATCTTTATCACCAATAATATGATTTTGGTCTTCTCTTCTCATTTTTTTCTTTCAATATTTTCACAAAGTTAATATTTTTTTCAATTATAGGGTGGTCTAAAAGGAGTAGTTTGGACAGATGTCATTCAAATATTTATTATGATCGGGGCGATCCTTTTGGTTGTGATCAAGGGAACCATTGATATAGGTGGTATTGGCACCGTATTAGAAAGGAATTGGAATAGCGATAGAATAGAGGGACCTAAGTAAGTTTTTTACTTTAAAAATGTGCGAACCAATTAAAATTTTATAAGAAATTTTTAAATTTTTATTCGGGTTAATATAAATTTTATTATTTTTTCATCGTCCTTCTTATATATAGTCTTCTAAAGTCTGTTTCTTCTTTGATATTAACCCCTTGCAATGTTTAAATTAGCACTTCATCGGTTCCCTGGTATTTTATCACTTCTTCGACTATTTGGTTATTTGTCTAGTGTTATTTAAACATCTTTCCTTGTACCATTCTGCTAATGTATTCGTTCCATCACTGTTTACGCCGTTGTTGCGATGTAATGCGGCGATTCAGACTCTTACGTTTTGGCTTATTTTATTATTTATTATATTATTTTATCGAAAGGGTTGCGCGATGAGAATGGAAATCTACAACTAGACCCCGACAAAATAGTTAGAATTTGGGAAACTTATGTAAAACAACTATTTAATGATGACCGTCCTAGTGGGTATACACTGAGAAATGGTGATACTGGCCCTTCTATTCTAAAATTAGAAGTGGAAAATGCTATAAGGGGTCTTAAAAATAACAAAAGACCAGGCAACGATAACGTATACGGGAAAGTATTGAAAATGCTGTGCGAAACAAACTGTCAATTTCTAGACTCACTCGTCAGACTCTTTAACAATATTTATAGCAGCGGCGAGTTTCCTGAAGACTGGCTAGAGTCAACTTTTGTTACCATACCGAAAAAACCAAAAGCAAAGTCTTGTGATCAACATCGGATGATAAGTCTAATTAACCACATTTCGAAGGCATACACCAAGGTTATTTACAACAGAATAAGCAAAAAATGCGAGGATAACATTGGAGATTCGCAGTTTGGATTTCGGAATTCTCTTGGACAAGAAAAGCTACAGGTACTCATCCAGCGCTGCAGAGATATGAACAAAGACGTGTACATATGCTTTATAGACTATGCAAAAGCATTCGATAACGTAAAGCACGAAAAGATAATTGAAGTTCTCCTTAAGATCGGAGTCGACTACAGAGACATTCGAACAATAGCGAGTCTCTATTGGGGTCAAACAGCTAAAGTGAAAGTAGGATCTACATTGAACAATAAAATTGAGATCAAGAAAGGGGTACAACAGGGCTATATCTTGTCTCCTATTCTCTTTAATATATACTCAGAAGAAGTATTTAAGACGGTGCTGGAGGAAAGCAGTAAGGCATAAAGATAACTGGAGAAATAATTAATAACATAAGGTATGTTGATGACACTGTGATTCTAGCAAGTAGCATGGAGGAAATGAGTTGCCTAATGAGTAAGATACAAAAAACAAGTGCACAATACGGACTCAGACTAAAAATCACAAAAACCAAACGGATGTTAGTAAGCAAAACCCAACAACCACCACAGCAACTGATATTAGATAATGAAATAATTGAACACGTGGATTCGTACATCTACTTGGAAACAACAATTAACTCAAATTGGGATCAAGCGAAGGAAATACGTATAAGAGTAGAAAAGGCAAGAGCCATCGTTCACTAGCATGAAGCAAATTTTCACCTCTAAAAGCCTCACGCTATCTCTTCAAAATTCGACTTCTGAAATGTTATGTATTCCCGGTTTCGTTATATGGAATGGAGGCGTAGACAATGACTGCAACATTGATGAAAAAAGAAGAGGCCTTCGTGGCCTCTTGACCACTAATGTGGGCCTACCGACGTATATTACGTATATCCTGGACTGAGCACGTGACCAACGAAGAGGTACTACGCCGGATAGGTAAAGAGAGAGACGTAGGAATAAGTATAAAGAAAAGAAAGTTGGAATACTTGGGTCACATTATGAGACATAATAAATATAGAGTACTCCAGCTGATCGTTCAAGGGAAAATAGACAACACAAGGGGTCCAGGGAGGAGAAGACACTCGTGGCTCCAAAACTTGCGGCAATGGTTCGGATTGTCATCTGCTCAACTATTCAGATCTGTCATAATAGCCATGTTGATTGCCAACTTTTGGAACGGACAAGGCACATGATGAAGAAGACGTTTTGGCTTAGAATTCCAGTCTTTTGAGAAACGAAGGGAAGCAAATAGTTATTTATGGCTATACTTAGATGTAAAGATAACACATTTAAATATTGTTCTGAAGCTATTTTCTTGTGGCATTTTAAATTAATTACTATTTAATTGGGAATAAGCCACAATTAAAGGTAAAAATACGTTTATTGACGTTTTAATTTCCACTTCGGAAATCGTTCACAAAATACAAAACCTTTTAAAGATTTAGATATCATGGAAATACGAGATTGGAGAGAATATGGTGATCTCACATGTAAAAAAGCAAATCGTATCGCAGAGACCTATCACGGTTTTTAAAAAGCTGCAGACGGAGAGGTAGTATATTGTATTAGATGTCCGTTAAGTTAAAGTATTTGGGAGAGCAGAGTAATTTAAAAGACACTATATATTACCTACAAGAAAAATTTGGGCGTCTATCGCTTCAGACTTTTAAGCCATCGCAAAATTTCCTCATTGTCTAGGAGCAGTAAATGCACACATAAGTCTTAATTGGCCATTTCGCATTGGGACAATGTATTTCAACCACAAAGATAATTATTCTGTAGTTTTAATGGAAGGTGCCGACTCCAGATACAGATTTGTATTTGTAGACGTTGGAAATTATAAAAAAAGACTGTGATCCTTCAATATTTAAAAGATCCAGTCTATGACAATCCATTGAACTAAAAACACAACTACTACCAGAAGAAACGTGTCTCTTGGGAACGGAAAGCCCCAAATTTCCGTACTTCTTTGTAGAAAATGAAGCATTTGGATTGCATCGGCATTTACTGCGACCTTTTAGGGAAATACATTTAAATATTGAAAAAAAAGATATTTAACTATCGCTTGTGTCAAGCTCGACGGTAAGTTGAATGCGCTTTTGGCATCCTCAGAATTAAATGACGCATATTTCATGTAGGCATTATTAAAGCTTGCTGTATTACATAATTTTGTACGTGACAGGGATGGTTTTGTGGTAGAGGTTACTTTTACAGTAATAGGTCTGGATGATTTACTCATCGAGCAAAAAGACAAAAGAGGGAATCTAATCGTTATGAAAAGGAGACCAAAAAAGTGGCCTCTGATGGCGGACATATCCGAAAATGCGAATGCGCCAAATTTAAATTTTTCGACACTTATTAACAGTAGCTATAAAATAGTTTTCAGAATGTATCTTAGACGAGAAGCTTTGAATAAATAATAATGAAACAGTCTAAAATGTGACACAATTGTTAAACAACTTCAATATAAATAAGATTTCATGTGACAGTTGGGACAAACAATAACATAACCCAACTAAATTTGATTTCTTAAACAAGGAAAGACTCTCTCTCCTATCCTTGTTTAATGTGGCCTCTCAAGATGGCACTTCCTGTCTAACAATATTTTTGCCCCTACTACCCTTACATTCCCTCTTTTGTCTTTTTGCTCGATTGATTTACTACAAACAAATCTAATACGAGGTAGTCTATCCGCAATTTACTAAATATTCTAAGTAATTACTACTGTAAAATTATTCACAATAAGTTTTATCAATGGTCAAAGAAACACCGAAAGCTTTTACTCATTAAGGAGCTACACGTTAAAGAAGAAAGATGAAAATGGTCGCTTTAAAGACTTTCGGCGCATCCCGGAAAAAACATTTTTTTATTTAAATAAATATATTCAGGTTTGTAACTCCATTTGGCATCCCAAATTTACGTTAATATTTTAAATTAAAAATAAAATAAGTATAATTTACCAAACTTACTTTTCTCCTGGTCCTTTAGCTCAGGGTTAACGTTTGTTAAAATTTCACGCCATGCATTTCTTATCGCATTCTTGTCTACATCTATCCAGAGTTTTATACTAAAATACTGGTCTACACCATAATTACAAGACAATAATTAGAAACGAGACACAAGCACTTGTAAGAAAAATAAAAAATGATCATTTGAAACGGTTTTCGAAATAAATCGAACATGATTTTTACGGTATGCAAAAGGAAATATGGAAGAATATGTTCTTCCTCTATATATCTATATAGAGGAAGAACAAACGACGCTAGAACCGGAAACACCAGAAATTACCACAAATTAATATAAATGCACAAGAAGTTTGAAAAATATTTAAAAAGCAGCAAGTGAAGACGGGATACCAAACGAATTACTGAAATACTGTGGAGCAGCAATGACAGTACAATTAACAACATTAATTAATAAAATTATAAAATAGAATAAAATACCGGAAGAATGGAGAAGGAGCGAACTAATTCTGCTTTTCAAAAAAGGAGATAAAAAACAGCCAGAAAACTACATAGGTATACACTTAACTGCGGTAAAACTTACAACTAAAAGTTAAAAAGCATCAGCGGATAAGTTTAGCAGATGAACAATAGGGTTTTCGTAGTAAATGATCGTGTACAGATGCAATATTCGTTATAAATATAATATATAATATATATAATATAATAGCGTTTATTGTCCAACAGAATCCATTTATAGGATAAAATACAATACTAAAGTTAAATGAAATATTAATAATTCATAGGTACTAACTAAATAACACATTTTTCGAGTATTTTACCTTAACATAAAAAAACTACTTAATCAGCTAGGTAGATCTCAGCCATCCTAGTAAGCTGCTTTAAACTGCAGTGAAATATATCGCAGTAAGCACTTAAGGAATTATAATAGTTGCACATGAGAAATAGAGGAGAATTTAACATAAGATTAGTTCTAGCTTGTGTATTTCTGAACGTAATCTCACTGGATAAGATGGAACGTTAAAATTTATTTGTCGAAGAATATCAGGGCAGTCAATGAGATCATGTAGTAGCTTGTACAGGAATATTAGGGAGGCATTAATTCGTCTAGATTCTAATGATACTACGTCCAAACCGCTACACAACTCGCTATTGCTGATGCCCCTCCTGGAATATATGCCGTTAATTTTGAAAGACAAAAATTTTAAAAATTTACGCTGCACGTGCTCTATAATTTGGATATGTACATCATAAAAAGGTGACCAAATGACAGAAGCATATTCCAGTTTACAGCGTACAAAAGTGTAATAAAGTAATTTAATTGCCTTAGTATTAGTGAGATATCGACTATTTCTAATTATGAATCCATAAGATTGAAGTGCTTCTTTAACCTTTAAATTAACATGCTCAACAAAGGTGAGTTTATAATCAAATGTAACTCCAAGGTCTTTAATTTTATTCAAACGTTCAAGTTCATTGCCATCGATAATATAAGGATGGTATATATTAGACTGTTTCCTAGAATAACTAACTACTTTGCACTTATTGGCATTAAGATTCAAATGATTTGCATTACACCATTCATGTACACGATTCAGTTCACTCTGCAGAAAATGACAATCATTAAGGTCGCTTATCAATGAATAAATCTTTAAATCATCGGCATAACATAAACATGGTGCAGAAATTGATTCACACAGATCGTTAATAAATAACAGGAACAATAATGGACCTAGATTAGAACCTTGTGGAACCCCTGAAGAAGCTAGGTACTTTTCCGATTTCTAACCATTATAAGCAACAAACTGCGTTCTATTTGACAAGTAAGACCTCATAAAAGTCACGGCATCCTCAGAAAGACCAAGGAGACACAATTTAGAAAGTAATACGCCATGGTAAATTCTGTCGAATGCCTTCGTAAAATCAGTATATATGACGTCAACTTGACTTCTATTATCTAGGGCTGCTGAGATATATTGTCTGACCATTAATAAGTTTGTCACAGTGGACCGATTGGAGACAAAACCAGTTGATCATTGAGCCAGCTGATTACGAGTGCGTGAATAAATACGATTATACAAAACTATTTCAAAGACTTTCGATAGATTGCAAATAATGGAAATTGGTCTGTAGTTTTCTATCTGACCCTTTTCACCAGTTTTAAATATTGGACACACTTTTGACTCCTTCCAGAGACTCGGATATTCCTTATTAAGAAGACATAAATTAAAAATTTTTAATAGTGGCACAGTTAAGGCACCTATACAATCCTTAACCAAAAAGGTTGGAATAATATCAGGTCCACACGTCATTTTGTCTTTCAATTTCTTACTAGCAAAAATTATCTCAGACTCTAAAATAGGATAAAAGTTTAAGTAATCTGCGTTAACTGAGGAAGAGTTAGCCTTAAAATTAATATCTGATGACAGAAAAACACTCATGAAAAATTCTGCAAACACATTCACAATATTTTGTGGGTCGGAAGTAGCAATGTCATTATATTTCATCACACCAGGAATTCTTGAACTATTATTTTTTGAATTTACATAAGACCAAAACTTCTTGGGGTTGTTGGATAAAGCAATTTGGATATTCTCGACATATAGATTGTATGCCAAACTGATTTTTGATTTGACAAGGTGTCTTAACCGTTGAAACTCAAGCAAATCACAATGATTTTTGAATCGTTTAAATTTTTTTCTAAACTTTGCTTTTAATTTAATGTTGTGAATGATATCAGCATCGAACCAGGGGGGTATTTATGGCTAAAGTTTTTATAAACTGGAATATACTTATTAAACACAGAAAAAATCTTATCATAAAAGTTATTTAACGTTTCATTAACGTCATTAGAAGTATCCAGAGAATTCCAATCCGTTTCATACAGTTTCATAAAGCAAATTACTGAGAGAAATCAATAGAGTATAATAGACCAGCACTTCTGTGTCTGATTGAAAACTCATCAAAGAAAACTGAAACAATAGTACTCAGCAAAAAACCAACCAGATGTAAAATAGAAATTATTGGCATCAGTATTAAACAAGTAGTTGAAATAAAATACCTGGGAATTACAGGGTCTAGCTATGGAGACCCAGACAAAGAAGTGAGAGATCAAGTACAAAAAGCAAATCGACTGGCAGGATGCCTTAATAACACTGTATAACGAAACAGACACATTAGCACTGAGATGAAGTCAAGAATTTACAAAGCCAGTATTAGACAAGTAATGACATATATGTCTCAGAAACAAAACCCGATACAGCCACAACGCAAAGGCTACTGGAAACAGCAGAGATGAGAGTACTGAGAAAAATTTCAGGAAATACGATGAGAGATCGAAAGGAAAGTAACGACACTAGAAGAAAATGTAACGTATAGTGTATAAATCCATGGACACAAAACAGAAAAAAAGAATAAAATAACGACATAAGCAGATAGGAGGAGACCTGTGTCGTCAAAAAGCAAGAGATAAGTCAGCAATCGGCAAAAGAAGTATTGGACGATTGCACAAAAGATGGAGTGACAACCTTCCATAGAGGTATTAATCCGCCAATAAACAAGCAGAATTTCTTATAAAGAGGAAGAAGAAGTAGAAAAAGAAAAAGAACATCGGTCTACTTTGTACAATTACAAATTCACCATCCATATTTTCTGCCATTAGGTACGAGCCACTGGATACTTGTACTACAAGACTAATTGTCGTTATATGTGCAAGCATTGGTTTCATTCTGTGGTTTAATATAAACACGGCACACGTCCGTCTTCTATTGCAGTAGCATTGTACGGCAGCCGAACGGTACTGGAGCGACAGTTAAGGCCGGTTCACACGATCCAAGAATGCTTGGATTCCAACTTGGACCAAGTGGACTTGTACAAGTGTACTTATACCAAGTTGGTTGCCACGGTTAAATGACTTGGATGTCAAATAATCATTGTAAAGATAGCGAAAGTGATTGTGAAATATGTTCTAGTAGTTGCTGATATGTTGATACATGAGCTTGAAATCCAGAAAAAAGAAGAAATGCCGAACTTATAGCATCCTTATTTTTATATTCCTTTATCCGTACATTCCATAATGCTTCCTTAGCTTCGCATAACTCCATGAATTTGATACTTTCCCTTTTTTGCAATACCACACTACTTAGATACAAGGAAGTTGGCCAGCATCCTACTTAACTTGGAAAGAACCTGTTGATACAAGTGTACTTGGATGAATAGGTGACAAGATCAAAGTAGCTTCCAAGTGTTACACGCACAACATCCAAGCATAACCAAGTACACTTGAATCGTGTCAACCCGCCTTTAGTCGTAGTCGTCCTTTGTAAAAATCGCCGTATATTGCTTTATTGGACTAATGAATGTACGACAAACTGTTGATGTTTTGTCGTAACGACTAAAGTCGTATTGTGTGGAAGAAGTCTTAGCAAGAAATTGTTTTTGTTCCCTGTAATTCCAAGGTAATCTTGTAAATAGCTATTTTATATACAAATTCATCGAGGAAGTCGTTAAAAATTTAGAGTAGGTATCTTTCAAGTAACTAAGTTTACATATTTGTAGACTGCATTAAAAAAAACTGCTGTTGAAAAAATATTATAATCATAATGACTAGATCAATATATAACTATAAAATAAGTGTATCCCTTCGTTTCTATTGTTACACTGTTGAAATAAACATAGCATCTAAAAGTAGAAAAGACTTTAAACGCACATCACAAACACGAACATAACACAGCATTTAATGTACCCGACAATGCACGCAATTTCTTTTATGTTTACACATTTCAATTAACTAGTGTATCTTATTATACTTATTTTTAGTTTTGACCCAGATCCGATGGCAAGACATACCATATGGGCACTTGTAATTGGTGGAGCTGCATACACACTGCAAAGTTCAGGGGTGAATCAAAATATGGTGCAGAGATATTTGGCTTTGCCGACTTTGCAGCACAGCAGACGGTAAATTTTATGTTTTGATATTACATATAAAATTGAATAAAAAAATTCAAAATTTATAAAAAGTATCCAAGAACTTTTGTTTTATAATATATACACAATGTTCAGGAAAAAGAAAAATGTCACATTTTACACATTTTTTTGACACTTTCTGTCCCTTTACACGGGAACAAACTCCACATCTGGACGTTTTTCGTTGTTTCTTGTTCGGAGGTCATTTTTTTTTTAGTTTCACCCTATGTGTAATTTAGTTTTTGAGCCATCATAGCTAGTTGGGCAACTTGTAATATCTTGCATTATTTCGAACACCGAGAAGTAGAGTAATTAAATTTTAATGTCGTGTTTTAACCGATTTATTGGACAGTTCTTTGCCGATTTTGTTTTCCCATTCCGTCCGATAAAAACTTAGATTGTTAGACTCTATCATCTTCAAACGTATTGTTGTCTTGAGAAGGTTCTTTCGACGATGATTTACTTTCCCGATTAGAAGTTTAAAGCTGACAATTTTCCACTGATTGAAGTTGGTTTTGTAAAACATCCCCACTGGGACGTAGGCTAACCTGCTGACTTTCAGTTTCAGATCCTAACTTTGATCCAGTTAATTCATCCTGCCAAAGCTTCGAGAGAGCTTCTTGTTCTTTCTCCCGACTACACATATTTCTATATATCTGAAATGAATCATCATCATCATCAATGGTGCTACAGCCCTATGAAAGAGCCTCGACCTTCCCAAGTCTATTACGCCAGGCAGTCCTATCCATTGCCAACCGTTGCCAGTTTGCTGCGCCTATCTTTCTACTAATTATCTAAAATAAATTAATTATTTAATAAGAAATTAATAATATCTAATTAATTTTCAATATTTCTACCAATTCAATTATGTTTCTAGTTTCCTATGAATTCAAATATTTAAAAAATCAAAATAAATTGTGGTGGTATAAGAACTTACCTGTTAAAAATAAGCCGATGTTGTGGAGTAAAAATTACCAAAAACTAAATAATACTGAACTTCAAATATGTGGTGGTGTCAAAATCACAATCAAGTCCAAAGAACGCAAGACCACTCATTCAAATCTTATTTATATACTGAAATTTATTATGCAATACAAGGTCTGATTATGGGAAGGGACTCGTGGCGCCATAAGAAATATGTTGCCACTATTTTAAGAAGCACTTATAACCAACGTAGGTGATTTTCACCCCATACCACAGTTGCCAGTTTAATAAAACCACTATTTTTGTACAATATTTTTAATAATTAGGATAAGATAAAATTTAAGTTTATTCAAATAAGTAATTGATTACTTACATCGACGACTGACATTTAATTTCAGTCAACTTGAATAATATTTGTGGCAGTTTAAGTTCTTCTTTCAGTACAAGAAAATGTTACTTTACTGACGCAAATGAGAACAATAATGAATGACTTGGTAATAAAATAATAAAATTGTGAAGCATTTAATTAAAATGTCTTTAATAGCATTTAATAGAAAAGCAAAATAATGAACGAAGAAGTTGCTTAAGCCGCTTCAAAATATAAAGAAAGGTGAAGGAGTTGAATCAAATGATCTCTCTAGAGAAGTGTGGATAGCTTTGAGCGGAACAGAAAAAAGTTGGTGAATAGGTTTTTTAAATAGAATTATGGAAGTAGGACAAATGCTGGATGAACAAAAAACAGTGTATTAGTACCTGTAAGCATTCGATAAAGTACGACATAAAGAATTAATGAATGTCCTGAAATCTAAGAAGATTGATTACAACGACCTCAGGATCATATCAAATTTATACTATAAACAGCGAGCAACAGTACGTGTTAAGGAACAGCTGTCAGAAGAAATTGAAATTAGATGTGGAGTGAGACAGGGATGCGTATTGTCGCCAATTCTTTTTAATGTCTACTCCGAAGAGATCCTGAAAAAAGCTCTTGATGGTGAAACAGTTGGAATAAAGGTAAATGGAGTTCCCATTAACAACATTAGATATGCGGACGACACTGTGATCTTAGCGGAAAACTCAGAGAAAAAACGAGAATCTTCTAAAAACGGAACCAACGTCGAACAAGTGAACTAATATGCATATCTGGGAACAATGATTAAAATAAAAATAGAAACGGCTAGATCAAATTTCAACAAAATCAGAAGAGTGCTATGTACCAGGGATTTAAAACTGCAACTAAGAGTTAGGTTGGCCAGATGCTATGTTTTTTTGACTTTATTTTATGGAATGGAATATTAGACCTTGAATGCGACATCAATAAAAAAACTGAAATCATTCGAGCTGTGGGTGTACTGAAGAATACTGAAAATATCGTGGACAGAACACGTCACAAACAAAGAGGTTCTGGGAAGGATGAATAAAGGAATGGAAATTTTAAATACAATAAAAATAAGAAAATTAGAATATCTTGGATATATTACACGTGGAGAGAAATACACCTTGCTCCAACTGATTATGCAGTGAAAGATCCAAGGAAAGAGAAGCATAGGGAGGCGTAGAATGTCATCGCTGCGCAACCTGAGAGAGTGGTATATACGGATGTACATCAAATGAACTTTTCAGAGCAGCCGTCTCAAACGTCCGAATAGCTATGATGATTGCCGACCTCAGCCGCAGAGACTGGCACTTGAAGAAGAAGAGTGAGCGCTCAATAAGAAAGAAGTTCATGGTGAATGTGTGAAGATTGTAAGAGACATATATGAGGGAATTACAAATAGTTTTAGGAGACATTTATAGTATGCAACGTATGATGATGGTGTAGTGTTAGTAGGAAATAGTAAAAGGGATTTAGAACAAAAACTAGGACAGTGGGGACAAGATCTTGAAGAAAAAATCTTATTCTAATAATGTCGATAGGCAGTGATTTAAATATTTAACTTATTTCTATACATTTTAGGGCATTATGGATGTTCCTGATTGGACTGACTGTGATTGTATTACTTTGTTCCTACTGCGGCCTGCTAGTTTATGCTACTTATTACAAATGCGATCCTCTTACAACTATGGTAAGCTTTCATCATTTTATTATATACAATTTTTAAGATGTGTAAGAACATTCATTCGTACTTACAAAATAGATTTGAAAACAAGATGTTAAATGTCACAACTAGATATTAGATCTTTTCGTTCTTCTTTAACTGTTTTTTTTGGCATATTTGTTCAACGTTGTCTCTTACTATGTCGGAATATTATCATTTCATCTCTTCCTAAGTCGACATGAAATTCGTTTTCCGATCAGTAACTTGTCTTGGGCAATTTTAATAGTTCTGCTTCCTGCTTTTTATTAATGAGCAAAATATTAACCAGATAATTTTAAAGGATTTCCTGTCTTCAATGGCATATTTGTTTATGATAATATAATGTTTGTCCACGTTTGGCATACTATAAGACATGGAGAGTTTTTAGATATTAGCGTTGAAATACATATTAACACATGGAGGATGGCCTCAAAAGGAAAGACATCAATTTGGACAATCAAGGAAAGACAAATCATGTGCTATTAACTACTTTGAATGTACAGTAAAACCTCGATATAACGGACTACTTGGGGGGACAGGGTGTCCGTTAAAGCCGAAAGTCCGTTATATAAAAATATGTTTAAAGTAAATCAAAAACTTTTTTTAAATATGTATATAGCGTATTTAGATATATTATATAAAAAATACAAAATACAAACAAAATTCTATTTAATTGTTTTCGGACGTTCGTCGTGAAGTGACGTTGCTGTTGATATCGAAGCGCTTGCTGTCGGTAATCCTATTTTGAAAAAGGAATCAAGTTTCGTTTGAAGTTTAGATGTTCTAAAAATTTCTACGATATATTCGTTTGGCTGCAAAAAGTATATCCTGATCCGTGGGTTGAAAAAGCGATGTTGTATTTTTTTTTGTCAAAAATGAGGTGAACCATCTTCCACTTCTTGGAGCTATAATATGAAATGATTAATGATGCATTATATCAACTCTAGGTTTACGAGATTTGCCAACCATTACAGGAGTCAATCAGTGTGATCTATCGGCGTTAGCACAAAACAGTGCCGATACCCTGTCTTTACTGATTTTTCTTCTAGAATTGTATTTTTCATATTTGGAGGCTTGTGCTTTCAGATAAAGTACGCCATAACAAACCAGTTTCATCAACATTACAAATCTGAGATTCTAATAGCATTTCGTTACTGATATGTTCCACTAATTTTTGCCTAAAAAGTTCCATTTCTTCTTTTGGTGCACTTCAAGCTTCGCCGTAAATTCTTTTATTAATGATTCCGTGTCTTTTGCGAAAGCACCAGAGCCATCCATCACTTGCTCTGAATGGTATGTCCATATGATTTCTTAATTTAATTTCAGCAGATTTCAATTCGACTGCCCGAACCGGCACCCCACTGAAACATTGTTGCCCGTGCCATTTTAAGACTGCTTCTTCCAGTAAAGTTTCAGGGGCTAATTTCATTCGTTTTCTGAGATTGCTGTTATCTCCTTCATCACACATTAATGCAAATTTATTTATTTTGCTCTTGTTTTTTATGTCCGAAACAGTATGATTTTTTATGCCATATTGATCACATATATGAGACTCAGACGTTCCAGACACAGACTCCAACTTTTGTAGAATCTCTAATTTTTGATTCATCGATTTCGATTGTTTCTTCCGTTTGTTCATATTTAAAGGGTAGGATTGCAAAAATTTTAACTTATTTACTGGCGTACACTAAATGTGTTAATTCACAACGAATAAACTAGAACTGCTGTAGAGTGGTGAGTAACCAGTGTGGCAATCACCCATATAGTCATATAAACCTACGCGTTATTATATCGTAATTAAGAGTACGTTTTTATTTTTTTTGCATTTGACCGGATTTTTTGTCCGTTATATAGGAAGTCCGTTAAATAGAGGTCCGTTATATAGAGGTTTTACTGTATTGTAGTCTGGGTAGTGTCAATATATGGCCTTTGGGATGTGGTAAGTTTTATTAAACAAACAATACTTATTAACACTTGAAGGTTAGCCAATTAGACGATTGAGTCTTCAGTTACCTTCAACTAACCTTATATAAGAAATAAATATACAGTACAAGAGCTATCGAAGTAGCAGAAGATCCAGGGGTAAAACTATTCCTGATCTCAAGCACAATCGTCCTGCCCTATCTTATTCAATTGTGTTTCGTTCTGCCAATCCTTTCCTTTGAATTGTATACTTACTCATTATTGTTGTGTACCCTTAAATATCTTGATTTGACTGAACTTTCTAGTCTTTTACATTTTAATATTTTTATATTATCTTCTACATCATCCAGCCATCTTCGTCTAAGCCTTCTTTTACACCTGAACCATAGTGGTGTCTAGTTAGTTATCCTTCTCAGCATATCTGAGTGTGGGTGTCTCCGTATATGTTCTATCCATACGAAGTAAATAGATTTTCATTCATGATTTATATAGATTTTATGTATCTGACTATATTTTCTCCCTTTAATTCTTCTTCAATTTAAGAATTTGTTTTCATTCTTCTTTCTGCCTATCTTATTACATTGGGGCTTTGTATCGTTCTCATTATTTTTCTTTTAAATTTTTCCTGTTACTCTTTTTAAAAATCTACATTCCACACTTTATTTTAAATCATTTATTATTTCTTACTCGCACAACATCATCAGCATATATTAAGCACCAAGGAATATTTATCCTAAACTTTTACATGAAATTTATCACACTGTGTTACACCTGTCCTAACATTCTTACAATTTTCAAACACTTACCAGGGACTTCTTTGTTATGTAACAATAAAACACTGAAGACTTTGTTTTCAAACTTCCACAAAATTTATTTTAACTATTATCACTACACCTGTTTCGGCTGATAGCCTTTCACAAGTGATCTATTTTTGGTTTGGGTTTACAAATTTATAGTCTCTAATGAAATAGGTTGAGGAGGGGAGAACTGTTTGTCTCAAGTTGGTCATTCAGAATTATATCTGTGTTTTTTAATTTGTTGATTTCCATAGATTCTAACAAAGATAGCTTAAGGCCTTTATTTTGAATGTGAAGAATTTTAAATTTGTCAATAAAAGAATGATTATGATCTAGAAGGTGAAGTGCGTATGTCGAATCTGTTTTTCTATTTTTGAAAGCCCTTTTATGTTCTGCTATTCGTTTCTCAAAGTTTCTACCAGTTTGACCGATGTAAGTTTTTGGGCAGTCGCCACATTGAAGTTTATACACACCACTATTTAAGTGTTTTTTATTTTGGCTCTTGTTATTTTTAATATATTTACCTAGGTTGTTATTTGTTCGGAAAGCTGGTGTTATTCCTTTCTTTTTTATGTGTTTGGCAATTTTTGTTGTTATTTTGACTGTATATGTAATCGAGCAGAAGGTACTGGGTTTTTTCTCTGGTGGTGGAAATACTATTTTCAGGGCTTTCTTGTGTAGTTTTTCATTTAACATTTTATTAATTGTTTGTTCCTTGTATCCGTTGTTTACTGCTATTTGCTTAATTATATTTAATTCTGTCTCAAAGTTGTCTTTTGACATCGGAATTTCTGTTAATCTATGTAACATACTATGATAAGCTGCCAGTTTATGTTGTGTTGGATGGGATGATGAGTTGTGTATAGTCGTGTCAGTATGGGTAGGTTTGTGAAATATGGAGAAGTCATGTTTGTTTTGAAGTCTGCTATTTTTAAATCTAAAAAATTTATGCATTGATTTTGTTCTGTTTCTATTGTAAATTCAATATGACTATCAAGTGAATTAATATACGATGAAAATTGGTCGAGTTGCCTGTTAGTTCCTGTGAAACATACCAGTACGTCGTCTACGTATCTCCACCAATATAAAAACTGTTTGAATACGGGATGTTTTGAAATCTTTGTCTCTAGATGATCCATAAAAATATCTGATAGCAATGGGCTTAGAGGATTACCCATTATAAGTCCTGCACTGTTATTTGTATATATTTTATTATTGAATTCAAAGTAGTCCTGGTTTATGCAAACTTCAAGAAGATGTAATATTTCAGATGTAATTACTGGATTTGTACTATTTTGGTCTAAAAGGTTTTTTAGTAGAATAAAAGTTTCTGTAGGAGGGATACTAGGAAAAAGATTTTTTACGTCAAATGAAATTAATCTGGAGTTGTTAGGTAATTGAAAATCTTGTATTTTATTAACTAGTTCTATTGTATTTTTTATGGTGAATTTAGGTGATTTAGGAAATTTAGTGTGTTCTAAAATAATCTCTAACAGTTTTTTGGAAAGTTTATATGACGGAGCTGTATAAAAAGAAACTACAGGTCTTATTGGGTGATCCGGTTTGTGTAGTTTAATGAAAGAGTATAATTTAGGAGGCTGTGGGTTCATAATATTGAGGTATTTCTGCTCTATTGGATTTAGTATTGCTTTTGAATTTTCTAACGCTAGCTTAATTTGTTTTTGATATTTTTCTGTCGGATCTTTGTGTAAAAATTCAATATTTTGATTATTTAAGAATTCTATTGTTTTGTTATTATATTCTATTTTATCTATAGCAATAGTAGTGGACCTTTGTCTGCTTTTGTAAACACAATGTTGTTTTCTATTGATTTATTTTTAATGGAAATTGCTGTTTTATTCTCTTTGTAACATGAATTCTTAGTTTCACTACACACATCTGTGCAAGATTTGGCAATTATACTTCTTTTTTAGTAAACTCTCACCAAGGAACTCCGTCGCATGCTTTCTCAATGTTAATAAATAAATAAATTTCTTACTTTTCTTTTAAGCCAATCAAAAAATTATAAATTTTTGTTCCAGTTGGCAAAAGAAAAGGACCAGTTGTTACCATTGCTGGTAATGGAGATATTAGGAGACGTTCCTGGACTACCTGGGTTATTTGTAGCTGGTATATTTAGTGCTGCTCTAAGGTGAATACATGTATTTTATTTCTTGTTATATTAATAATTTCTTAAGTTGCGGCGTTTTTGTTAGCTATTTACTGATAGTATGATGTCGATTTCAAGACTTTCTATTCTACAGAGTAGTCAAAGTTTTTTTTAACGAAACGCCCTGTTTTTTATTCATTTGGTTGTTACAAGAATACAAATTTCATATGAAATATACAGAACATTAAAAATATTGTATCAAATTTTCATGAAAATCGTACCGTATTCAAAGCCCTTTATAATTGAAAAGGAGTACAAAAGCAATGACATGTTGTAGACATAGTTTTTAATACTTTTTAAACCTAATGCAAGGTTTACAAGTTTTAGAATTCAAAACACAAATTTATTTTCTTGTGGCATCTTAATGCAATTACTATTTTCGTTGGGAATAAGCTACAATATAAGTTAATAATAAGTTTATTTTTGAAGTTTTGATTTCCGAAAACTGTACTTAAAACATTAATAAATTAAACAAATTTTCTTCTAATAATTTAATTTGATATGACTCATTCATATTGACAATTCAGATATATATTATTATTTATTTTAGGGTAGACAACTTTAAAATAATGTTGTTAATTTTGTTGATATGTGTTTTATGGAACGACTTCATTGTAAGATAGTTCATTTGATTACATGAGAGGTTAAAAATAAACTTATTTTAAACTTGTATTGTGGCTTATTCCCAACGATAATATACCATTATTTGCTTAGAATTTTTTAATACACCGTTCTGTATTTTATAATATTATCATAAACTAAAGTCAATGTAGTTTAATTTGCTTTACAAAAAAGTAATTCTATTGCCTATTCAACACACACAAAAAAATTTAAAAATTAAATAAAGAAACTTATACAGAAGTAAAAACTTTCAAATTTGTATATTGGTATAAAAACATTTAATTTAAAACTTGTTAAAAGCGTAGTCCAAAATCTACAGATACATAACGTTTTCGATCTAGCTCAGATCATCCTCGGTGCCTTCTTTTGGTACTTGTAGCTAACACGAAAATTGCAGCGAAGATATCAATATGTAATATCCTTACTGGTCCCACTGCAAGGCTACTGGTTCCACTGGTCTGGAATGACGGGCTCGCCTTCATGGATTTACGAGAAGGTAGAGAAGTTTCGGGATAGGGATTTAAGGGCCTCTAGGTCTCAGGTCCTGTAAAAAGTTTGAGTCTATGGGCTTACTTTAGAAGCCGGATAAATGTATAAGCCGAAATTTGGTACTCTCCTGGTCTCTGTCTGAATCGGCCGGAAGGAACATAAAAATCAAATTTAAATTCTACAAATGTATTGAATATACTATGTGGTTTACAATTAGGTTAACAAGCTGTCAGATATAATCAATAATAACTCGTTCGGCGCGAAGGGAGACGAGAAGAGATCTTAGCAAGAAAGTAAAGGGGTGACAATCAGTACTACTATAATTTACTCGGGTTAATATATGAAATTTTGTTACCTTTCGCGTATGTAGGCTCTAGCTAATGATACGCCCTTCAGTTCCTCTGGAAATCGGATTTCTTTCAGTACCCCACACTTATACGGAACTATATCCCGTCGAAATATAACAATCGCGCGTAATCCGCACCTGGTGTCGCCTCTCGCCTTGACAGCCCCGCCCAAAGATACTGACTGACTGGACGCTACCGCCTCCGACCCGGAGCCGGCAATCACTGCCTTAGTGGGCAGTCACGGTGCCCAGCTATTACTGACTGTCTGGGCCTTCTCCGATCTTTTTTGTTTTTATTGAGCTCCTATTCTCAATTGCCGATTGTAGTACCAAGGTCGAGTTTTTGCTGAGTCCTCATGATTTAAACCAGGTCGGCGCTGGTGATATTTTCCAGCGTAGGTCTATGTTTATTAAAACGTGACTATTTTCTTTTTTTGAACAATTGTTGCAACTGATACTGGCTCGTGTCATGCAACTAACTGGATCAAATTGTTTTTCTTTGTATAGATTAACATGTATACGTTACTTTATCGAATTGATTCTTTATTTAATTTGGAATATATAATAATTATTTTGAATAATTATTATCTTCTCTATGTTACTTAGCCCTTATTTTTTCTATTCTTTATTTTCTTGCTATGTTTACATTACAAATATGGTTTTACATATTTAAATTTAAATTATAAAGCTTGTCGCTCACTTAAGCGCGGAGAAGCAGAGAGAAGCGAAGTTAAAACGACTTCTTTTTTAATAAAGAAACTGTTATTTTCATTATAGGTGCTCTAAATTGACTTAAGTTTTTGATGGTGATATAAATTACAGGGTGATTCGTTTAAAAATACCGAACAAATAATGAATTTGCCTTTTGACTTACCCCATATTAGATTTAATGAGTGTTAGCAAAATCAATCATTTTTATGAATTTTGTTAATTATTGTTTAAAAACTATGGCTGTGATAGATCTTTCCTTTTGTACGCCTTTTCAATTTTATAGGGCTTTGAACTTATCAAAGTGTTCATTAAAATTTGCTTATAACTTTTTAAATACCCTGTATAACACAAAAAAACTGGTTTTCAATACATAACAGTTTTTTATTAGTATTTTTAAGTTTGAGCTTCTACTGTTTCTCACTATTTTTTTTGTCATCTATTTCTGGCTACCACATTTTCGTTTAGTTAAATCAAAAATGAGGTAGTTTTCAATAAAATTGTTTTTCCTTATATCTTTTATTGTTTCAGTTCACTTTCAACAGGTTTAAATGCAATGGCAGCAGTTGTCCTTGAAGATTTTTATAAGCCATTTTTTAAAAAGGAACTATCGGAGAAGAATACATATCTTCTTATGAAGACGACAGTTCTGATCACAGGAGCAGTATGTGTGGGATTGGTGTTTGTAGTTGAAAAACTAGGAGCAGTACTACAGGTTAGTTTTAATGACTAAAATATTCTCGAGTAATCTTAAAACCAGATACAAAAACTTTGAAAGTCGCCATTTCTTTAATCCTTCGTCACTCGCAGCGTTAGAAAAAAATCTAACATTTTTAAATATTTCGCCATAATTTTCGAAATATTGCTTCTTTTGGGTTCTGTAACCAGGAATACTTCTATGAAGACTCGTATAAGACAATATTAAAGAATGGTGGGAATACCTTTTATCTTATAGCCGACAGCAGTTGTTGTTAGTTTAAATCTAACACGCGAATGATAGCATTGTGATGTTCGTTCTGAACACAGTATCCACAATACAGATTCTACGAAGTCCACACAAGATCTACCTGATGATCCTAAAAACTCCATGGAAGAAAGTTGCCAAGATGATGGTTATCCAAGATTTTATGAAAATGATAAAACACCATGGTTGAAACATAAGAAACACACTCCCAAAGGTAAGACCAAAGCTTGTTATATTGTTGAGAACTTACCTGGGCTAAAAGCAAAAGCAAAAGTCGCCAAAACCATATAAGAATGCTGAAAATTGATTTTCTTGGATGCTATGATCAATAATTGATCAAATATTGTAATATATATATATATACATATATATATATATATATATATATATATATATATATATATATATATATTAAATTGGCCAATTATGGCCTAGGAGGACAAATTCGTTAAACTTCCCGTGTTCGAATCGGTATCAATAAAGTGTTATGACTCATTTCGGCCTATCCCAGCCTCATCAGACACTTGGGCTGATACCTGGTCTGATGAGGCTAGGATAGGCCGAAATGAGTTATAACACTTTATTGATACCGATTCGAACACGGGAAGTTTAACGAATTTGTCCTCCTAGGCCATATATTTGGCCAATTTAATACAACAAAGCGATAGCAGCTTTTTGCTAAAAGATTTATTCTCTACATACATACACATATATATATATATATATATATATATATATATATAATATATATATATATATATATATATATATATATATATACATTTTATACAATAACGGATTGATTACGGCTGTCGCCGCTTCTCCGCCCCCAATTTCCATCTTTTTCTGTCAGACGCCGTTGCCTCTTTTAAGTCTCTTGCCGCCATTGCTTCATCAATATCGTTGCCAACTTCTCCGTGGTCGTCCTCCCTTTCTTCTTTCAGGAGGGATCCATTCCAGTACTCTTTTAGGCCATCTGTACTCTGGCATTGTTTTAACATGTCCGAACCAGATTGTTTTCTTTCTATGTCATCCTTGACATTTTGCTCCATTTTCATTTCGTTTCTTATTTGTTCGTTCCTAACTCTTTCTAGTTTCGATCTACCGCAGCTTCGTCTCAGATAATCCATTTCTGTCGTCATAAGTTTGTTTTTATTAGCTTTGGTGACGTCCCATACTTCCGAACCGTAAAGTGTAATACTTTGGACTATACTACCGTAAATGTGTTTTTTGGTTTCTCGTCGAATTATTTTTTGCCAGAGAAGAGAGTTTAAGGCACAGGTCGCTGCTCTACCCTGCTCTATTCTTTCCCTGATTTCATCTGCGCTATTTTCCTTCTTATTGAAAATGACCCCCAAATATTTGCAGGATTGTACGCCTTTGATTTTGTCGTCTTCCAAGACTAGGTCACATATTTCAGCTGTTCCCACTGATAGATATTCACATTTTGTCATATACATGTTTAGACCTGCCACCTCATATTCTTGCAGTTTTCTTACCATATAGCTAAAATCCTAACTATCTTCGGCAATTACTACCTGGTCATCCGCAAACAAAAGTGTATATAGCGTGTTTTCTTCCACCGTTATTCCCATGTTTCTACATTTTTTTACCCATTTCACTAAGAATCTGTCCAAATAGATTTTAAATAAGGTGGGTGACAGACATCAGCCTTGTCTTAGTCCCTTTGTTGTTTGAAAAGGAGAGATGATTTCTTGTCCCATTTTAATTCTTGCAAAGTTTTGTTCGTAGTATTTTTGGTGGCGTTAATAAGAATTGGGTTTATTTTCAAGTTATCCATTTCTATCGATAGTTGGGAGATCGGTACACTATCATATGCTTTTTCCAGGTCTATTAAAGCTATATGGGTTTCTCTATTTCTCTGCACTCGTTTTTCCATTGCAATTTTTAATGTGAAAATATTATCCATGCGGGATTTAGGGCGTCCGGCCCTAAATCCCGCTTGTTCTTCGGGTTGTTTATCTTTAATATCATTTTCTATTCAGGTTTCTTTTTAAATATAATCGGCCTATAGTAGCGATCACTGAGATTCCTCTATAGTTTTTAGGATCCGTTTTTTATGTATATTGTAAAATCAAAAACTCGATATGATAAGAGTGTTTTATACTCGCCCTAGGGATTGTGTTGCTGTTGACCACGAGGAAATGCAAGCATTTATCGGACTTTGGTTCCTTGCTGGGGTAAAGAGAGCGCAACATTTAAATACTGATGAACTCTGAAAATTAGATAACACAGCTCCAGATATTTTTGCAGCTACTATGTCCAAGAAAAGATTTCACCAAATAATTCATAAGATTTGACGACGCCACTAAGAGGCAAGAAAATTCGGCAGTTATTAATCTTGCACCCATTCGAGAAATATATGAAATATTTATCACTAACTGTTTATCTGCATAGACTACTGAATTCTGTGTGACCATAGATGTAACGTTGGAAGCCTTCAGTGGTCGATGCAAATTTAGGCAGTATGTAGCCTATAAGCCAGCGAAATACGGAAGCCTTGGTGTAAGCTAGAACATTTTTCGCATAAAATCATACAAAATCTCGCTACTATGCGTAAAAACAAACAACAAATTCTCCCTGAGTTGACAAACGTAAAAGGAAGACCTTTATGTAGTAGCATATGGTGACGATGGAAACAAGTGTGTACTTGTTTCCATGGTCACCATATGCTACTGGCTAATATTTTTTATGAACGAATTCATAGTCGAAGAATTTATTTAAATAAGGGTTTACTTAATATTATACCTAATTTAAGATTATGAATATTTTTATTATTATCTTCTAATATAGCAGCCCCCCCCCCCCCCTCATTAAATTTAATGAGAGAAATTATTTTAATTAATTCTTTAGTAGGTTTTAATTTTTTATCTATATTATTTTTATCATTAATATCTTTTTTTAGGGCAGTCTATTCACTATTTTTGTACATATGTGCAAAAAAAAAATAGGAATGTACTATTACTTGCAACACTACACAGAGATGGATTCATTGATGAAAACACCAAAGCGCATACCATGAAGCCCGAGATTATTACTGATTACAACCTCACAAAAGGCGGAGTGGATGTTGTTGATAAAATGAAGGCAGAATACTCGGTGACTCGATTTAGCAATCACTGACGGTTTACTGTTTTTTGCAGTCTACTAAATATTTCAACTATAAACAGCCAAATAATGTACAACAATAACATTAATATTGTAACATCTCGAAGAAGCTAAATTGCGGAGCTTGAAAGCAACTTTGAATGTCCCATCTTCAACGACGTTCCAATGTCCCAAATCTGCCTTGTCAGTTGAGACTCAGGATCCGAAATATAATCGGAGAAAAGCCATCAGTTTTTCAAGGGGCAACTCCAACTAAAACCAAGATGTTCTTTTTATCCTGTAAGGAAGAACAGGTTTATGCAACATTATTGTACTACCTGTAAGTTGTCTATATGTAAAGAGCACATTGGTTTAACAAATTTTACTTACAACCACTGTCTAGAAGAGGAAGAAATCTAATTTTATGCGTAAGGCGTACATTTTTTTGAAATACATCCCCTTATTTGGTTTGTTCTAGGGTAATGTGTATATTTTTTTAGTTTACCTAGTAGATTTTTTTGCAGTTTTGTATAAAAAAAATGGCGTGATTTTTTTTATACAAAATTGGCGTAGTGATGGCGTAATTTTTTGAGGTGCGAGTAATGGAGGCTTAAAGATAACGTTTTGGTGATCTCAGTTTATTGAAGAACAAAACATCCAGAGACATAATATAGTGTAATAATAATAAATACGTACTTACTTGATATAATAGTTTTTTTTTACTTTTAGCTTACTATGAGCATTGGTGCTATAGCTAATGGCCCTTCATTAGGACTTTTTACTATGGGAATATTATGCCCGTGGATTAATGCCAAGGTAAATAAAAAAAAACTGGTTCAAACTAGATGGTTCAAAAAATTAAGTGTTTGATATAAATTTTAATCCAATAACTAATTAACATTCAATATTTCCAAAACTACTTAAGATTACATTTTTAGGGAGCTCTGATTGGTGGAATGGCTTCTCTAGTTTTCATGTCTTGGCTGTGTTTAAGTGCCCAGAGCTTGATATCATCGGGAGATCTAACGTTTCCAGAAAAACCAGTCTCCACAGATGGATGTCACTACCACTTTATTCCAAAATATCTAAGTAAATCCATGATTAACATAACAGACGTGACACATACCGAGTAAGTATTAGTAGAACAATTATGAGTGTCTGTTTTTATTTGTTTGATATACATATGTCTAGCTGTTCAAAATGACATTCTAACAATTATTGGAAAGCAAATACATAGGTAGCCATTTCGTTTGATCTTACAGTTTTCTAAGAACTTAAGTATATTTTGTAGTAGCCAATTTTGACTTTTGTGAAATGTCTGTGGAAGTTTCTTCTCCCTTTTCCCATCTGAATTCATATTGATTCAAATTTTATTCCCGTTTTTCTGTTTTTTGATTGCAGATTTTCTAGTTTTGTCTGTAGTTCTTTCATTGTTGATCACAATATCTTTTGTTTCTTCCGTACTATCTTATTTTCTACTATTTAATGTTCTTTTTGTTTTGTTGAATCTTCACGAGTTTGTTTGTGAAATAAATTTATTTTCATGACAACTATACTAAGATCTAAATGCATCTAAATATATTTTCTTAATTCTTTATTTGTTTTAGCGAAAAATATATGATACTCAGACTCTCATATTTGTGGTACTGTTTAATTGGAACCTTGGTGGCCTTATTAGTGGGTCTAACAGTGAGTTATATTACGAAACCCCTAAAACCAGAGGAAGTTGATCCAAATCTTCTAGCGCCATTTATTAGAAACATACTGGAGCGAAAGAAAAACAAAAAACAAGAGAGCAAACAGAGTACTAACCAGGGTACAATTATTCATACGAATGTAAGTAGAATATTGCATTATTAATTTAATATTATCTAGTAAAATTATTATTTTTCTAGACTATATCGTAAATATTATTAATCATTACAGTATTCAATAATTAATACACAACAACTTAACTCGGCAGTAGTGATATCACTAACTTATTGATGGAAAAATCGATGGGTTAACGATTGGAATCAGACCGGGCATGATAATATTTTTCGATAAAAAAACAAATGTTTATGTTCATCGTTAACGAGGCAAAGACAAAGTAGTAGTAGTAAAGAAAAAGTAGTAGAAAGGACAATATAAACTGCATATGGCGTCTTTGATCTCACTTATAATCAAAAACAACATCGTGAGAAGAGGAATTTCTTGAACGAAGTGGCTCCAAATGATGAAGAAGATGAAGTAGAAGATGGTTGTAGCTCCAAACACTTCTTTAGAGATAAAAAAAAACTTATGGAAGAAGAAAATTAACTAAAAAAAATTGATCTTACAGCTATTATGTGGGCTGTGCACTAAAGACGTGCAAAAAGACGTCAATACTAAAGTTAACTTACTTTCTGATGACCAACCAATGAAATAAACTGACGTGTTTGACAATGAGAAGTACTACCTTTGAATCTATATACTAACCTGAGATCAAAATTTGAAACTATCATAAACATGAGATTTGCAGATGTTATAATATTGCTATCAAACGCTATGAACGAACTGAAGGAGATGGTTAGTGGCATAACTACAAAAACAGAAAGTAAGGCTAAAAGCCTTAGGAAAATAAGCAACTTAGTGAATCACGAAAAAGGGTTTCTGCTGACATACAACATAGTAAAAATGTACTAAAAGAATACCTAGAAACAATTCCAAAACTACCAAGCCATTACTGTAAAGCTTATACGGCAAAATTATACCTTGAACCAGTTTTTCAATGTAAAAACGAAGTGTTTAGAAAATATGTAAAATTTGCGAAAGAGAAAAATATAGAAGCTTTGAGCCGAAATTCGTTTACTGCAGAATTTAACAAGTAAAACTTAAGTATATTTCGACCAAAGAAAGACCAGTGCGATTTATGTATGGCCTATGAACATGGTCATGAAACAAATGAAGACTACGAAGCACACAGAAAAGAAAAACAGAAGCAAGAGAACAAAAGAAAAAAGATAAAGAAGCAGCCTTATGTAATCCAGATAAGACTTTATTGATCACTGTTGATATGCAAGCAGTAAAACTTGCTCCTTATTTGCGATGTTCTGCTATGTATTACAAGACAAAGTTATGTGTGCATAATTATACTGTGTTTAATTTGGCTACAACAGATGTACACTGCTTTCTATGGGATGAGACCCACGGTTCATTAGAAGCTACAAACATAACTTCGATTAATTACAGTTTTTTGGAAAATTCAATTGCGAAGTGTCCCTCCCTAAAAGAAATAGTTATATATAGTGATGGTTGCGGTTACCAAAATCGTAATGTTGTGTTGTCGAATGTCTTGCTAAAATTATCAAATGAAAAGAAGATCACCATAATTCAAAATTTTTTAGAGAAGGGACATACACAGATGGAAGTAGATAGCGCACATAGCCTCATAGAGCGTCGTTTAAAGAACAAAGATATTTTTCTTCCTTCCGATTATATTCGGATTTGCAGAGAAGCTCGCCCTGCCAAGCCCTTTGTTGTAAAGTATTTTCGTTATAGTGATTTTCGCAATTTCACAAAATTGAAGTATTAAAGCAGTATCAGACCAGAATATAAAGTTGGTGATCCTACTGTATCAGACATTCGATGTCTGAAGTATGATATCAGTGGCCAAATTAAGTACAAATTAAACTTCTCCGACGAATGGCAGGATTTTACAAAAAGGCCCAATCTGGAGCAGATGCACAGCATAACACCTAATTACACTGAAAGATTAAAAATACAGCAACAGAAATTTAACAATTTACAAAGTTTAAAAATAGCAATGGATTCCGAATTATGGGAATATTATGATAGTGTTTAAGTTTTATTACTTTTTTATTACATAAAAATATGTTTCCCTTCAGTAGAGACATGTATATTTGGTTAATAAACTTATTTTGCTAAATTTATTATTATTTCAGGTAAGCAAAAGCTCGTATCAGAACTTTATTGACACTTTCGCGACCTGCAAAACCTAGTATGAGACCAAAGGAAGACATTTTACAAAAATTTCTTAAATACCTTATAAAATTTTGTCAAAAATTACCTTTATTATTAATTAATATCAATATATAAGTCCTTTACAAAATAATGCTGTGTTAAACCATTTTTTACCTCTCCTGTAAAGTTTACTTAAAGTCTCATACGAGTTTTTGCGGAATCACCGACGATATATTGGATGAGAGTAACGCGACAAATGGAAAGAGCTTGGGAAGGTATATATATATATATATATATATATATATATATATATATATATATATATATATATATATATATATATATATATATATATATAATATATATATATATATATATATATATATATATATATATATATATATATATTTACGGCATAAAGTGAACTCCGCCCATGTTAAAATTCAGGTTCAAGTGAGCTCCGTGGTCAAGTGGACACCGATATACGGAGCTCACATGACCATTCCATAATATTGGCTCTGTCCACTCGTTAAGATGTATAGTTTCATAATTCTTAATAAAATTTTGGAGCTCATAAGTACCCCTGTATCATAAATGTATTTCGCTTAGTTCACGTGTATATATTATAGGGGTCGTTCAGATCTTTTTCACTGTATATTGGAACCATAGGAATATCGGTTTAAGTAAGCTCTGATAGTTTGGCAACTATGCACTTAGGCCAGCGTTCTTGATATATATATTTTATATATTTTAAACGGTTCATACGGACTCCTTTTCATACGCATTACAATATGTAATCTTCTTCTTCTTCTTGATGTGCCTATCCGTTATGAATGTTGGCGATCATATTGACAATATGTAATAGATATGTATAATACCAAATACCTGTTTTTGGTAGGTACCTGCTATTCTAAAAATAGCTTTATAAATACAAAAGGATTTCATTACCAAGTTGGACGTGTTTTTTCATATGCGAATATTTCCTAATGTATTTTGTTAACATGAATATGTCTTTATACGTTTTACTTAAGAATACGATTAATAAGAACTTTTAGTTAATCCATTGTTTTACGATATCTTGTATACAGCTTCTTTATTATTTTATTTCTGGTTTTATCTGTATACTACATATAATTCTGGATAGGTTATCTTAAAATAAATATTTAAGTGCAAAAATAGATATTTTTATGTAAAAATTGGTAGTAGTGCACAAAAGAGGGAAGAATGCTTAATTTATATAAGAAGAATGTACCAGTTCACCAATATTACATACTTCTAAATATTTTATCTGCTATTTAGGGGTAATATGTAATCAATAAACGTGGAGTTAGTGTCAAATTTGCAATAATCTTTGGTCAGTTTTTTCTCGATTTTAGTCATAAATTGAGCTGGTATTCGTTGAGTGGATGTTGCGATTCTAGACTTTGTATCTTTTAGTCTCTAGCAGTCTAGCTACTTATCTTCGGATATTAGGTGAATTGATAGCTACGATATTGTAGAGCTTATGTATGGATGTGTGTGTGTGTGTGTCTTAATAATCGCTGAATTTGGCTGTCTAATTTATAGCTAAATCTACGTGTTAAATATGTGTTGGTGTCATCCATACTTGCAAGGTATATTCGGTAGCAGAAGCATAGAGTGCAAGCGTCTACGTTTTAAGGATGAAAGGATGCTTCTCATTTTTAGCTGACAAGTTTGCAGAGATTATTTTTCTGGTCCTTAGTTTGCCTTTTAGTTTTAAACAATGTTCTATGAATGACAAAGTGTGATACAAACTATCTTCAAGGTATTTATAGCAAGTCCAGAGTTTAAAAATTTCATGACACTATTGGATGTTTAGATTTTTAAAAGCAATTCTGTTAGGGACATTAAAGCAGGACCTCTGACTTTTTCTGAGGTTTGGCTTAAAATTGATTTATAGTCTATTTTTATTGTGTTTAAAGTATGATTTAGATTTTTCTATACTTCAGCAACAAAAGTTTTTGGTTGTGCAACAATATCGATGTATCGTCTACATAATAAAAGTCCTAGTATTTACTGGTATGGGTTGTGTAAATATTATACAGTGTAGGTACCATTACGCTACCCCAAAGGAGACCGTTCTTCTGCGTTTTCCATCTGTTATTTTTACCATTGAATGATAGGAAAAATCTTCTGTTGTGTAGGCATACCCGGACAATACAAGCCATTGTTGTATTTTTGATCCAAATTTTAGAATCAGTTTTGTGCTCAGATCTTTAGTCAGGAGCCGTAATATTGTTCATTAGGTATATACGTAGATAGCAGATCCAAGCTCAACACCGTTGAAAGATTCCCTTAGCTGACTGGTTTTTTCCCCTCTCATTTTAAGTTTTTCTTTTCTTGTTTGCCTATGTTTGGCCCTCAATGTGTTTCCTGCACTAGAAATACGTCACATTTGTGTTAACCGCATATGTCTGATAAAGTTAAGTAAAGGAAAGTACCTATCTTTATCTCTGGATATTCTCTTCTCTAATGTTTATAGACATAATTAGGATAGTTGGCATTAAAGAGGCCGATTTGGCCGATCTTTAAACCCTATAAAATATGGCTAATCTTATACTTTTCATTAAAAATTTTAATTTTACATACTGTTACTTTAAGACAATATTTCGATCAGATTTGTATAGTAATAAATGTAGTTAATATACAGTCTCTTTGTGAAAAATAAATGAGTTTGTAATATCGGTCACAACTCATATATGGATAAAAAGGAAATAGACGGTTAAAATAGGTGTACAAAATTTTAACTACATATATCGGCGCCATTGTTCAGGAGTTGGGTTTATCTCAGAGATCAAAGGTTACGTTACATGCATATTCCAGGTTCTATTTACGGATTTTCATTCCTAAAAAAGTATATTTATAATAAAGCC